GAATAGGTACAATTTTTATTTTATACAATCACTTTATTGGTATTTCTTCATCTTACTAAATACATACTCAGTAAGATAAACGTCTCAGGACTCCGACCTAACTCCCGCGCCTTCTTGCACCACTGATACAGAGTCGCAAGGGCTCTCGCCTCCAGGTACCACGGTGGAGTTCCGGCCAGGAGACTCGCCACCTCAAAGTAGATCGCGCGGTACCCTTATGACCCTTATCGGGTATACGGTCGTCGCAGTAGAGTGATGTTGCTGGCCTTCAGGGCCTCCGCCCATACGAAACGTTGCCCTATTTTATGTCATAATCTCATAAAGTTTTTATAAAAATATACATATAATTAATGTTCTAGCATTCTAATTATTTGAAATTCTTAGATCGTCCATTGTTTATTAAATGTCAATAAATTTACTTACTTTATTTTATACAAATAGCTGTGGTTGTGCTGTGGTCAAAGTACCTATAATAGGTAACATTCTATTGATCAGGTAATTATTTTAGCGTAACGACCTACTGTCGTTATTAAACTTTAAAATTTATGTATAAGTAGGTGAAAACTAAACAGTTTAGCAGTTTTTTGTTTTTAATTTATTTAGGAGCTATTTATTGATGAAATAGCAACAGTTTTTCTCTAGATTACAACGATTGTGGTTTAGTTTCGACTAGTCCTTGAATAAATATTTGTATAAACATCCCTAAGCATTTAATTCTTAGGTTACAACTGGGAATATTTAATATAATTATGTTCCTATAAGAAAGTACACATATTCCCGATAGTATCTACTTAATCCATCCATATCTGTAATCTAGATTAATTTTAGTTTTAAATATTCTCATTTTTCATTTAGGTATCGTTTTTTGTCACAATCATGATTAACTTTTTAAACGACCTCACAGACTACGTTTCGAGTAATAAACAATAATCATATAAATATGACTAATGTACCTAATACTCGTATAATGACATCACTAGCGGTAGATGGATTGATGTCATTTTGCTTTATGTCGGATATGTGTCTCAATCTCAATTGGTTATTAGCTTACATTGACTAAGGAATCAGTGCTTTAAGCCTAATAGGAAGTATTATCTACCTACGATGTGGTTATTACACCTTAGTGTAATAAATTTGTAATAAATGTAATGTAATTTTTAACCGACACCAAGAAAGGTTGAGATTCTCATTTTAGACGTATTTTTTTTCCTCCTTTTAAAAATTTAAAGTTTTGTTAAGTAAGAATGCCGTCATGATTTGAAAGATCATTTTTATTTCTTTATACTTGAAAGAAAGAATCCCGTTTTATTTATTCAAAAAAAATCACGTTGTAGGCGAAGTCGGTTATATTTTTTTAAAGCATAAATAGTGCAAACGAGCAGATGGGTCACCTGATGGTAGGTATCTACCGCCGCCCATAGACACCAACAAGTGCGTTCCCTTTGAGTCCTTCCACCTAGAATCAGGGGGGGTAACCCCACTTACTGGATGAAAAGCAACGAAAGAATTGCCTAACACCGGTTTTCTGTGAGACCGTGGTATCACGGCGATCGAGTCGGCCCATTTGTGCTGTAACATGGCTCCCACGGGCAAATGTATTCTTTTTTTAAAGTTCATGTTAGTTTTTTTGACTGCCTCGGTGACGCAGTGGTAGTTTATGGGACTGCTGTGCTGAGGTCTCGGGTTTGCTTCCGGGGTCGGACCGAATGTTTGTATATTCTGAAAATATTTGTTTTAGAGTTCGGGTGTTTTCTATATATAATATGTATGTATTTACAAAAAAAAGAGGATATAAGTATTTTATCAGGCAATCTAGCTTTCATAGTACAAGCTCTTAGTTTGAAACTAGATGGCGTTGTGAGTTAGATGTCCGAAAATTTATAAGATGTAACTGCATATAAAGGTTAAATCGTTTGGATTATCCTTTAGTTTCGTAAGATACGATAAAATCCATGCAACTAAAAGAATTTTAAGAGGTTAAATATTAAAAACGTTTAAGTGTCCAATTCGCTTGGGTGGGTCGTGTCCTAGGTCGCTTACGGTGCCGCAGTGCTCATAAAACGAGTCTGGCTCACCGATCGATACTTGGATCTAGTTTTTCAGGGCTTGCGAGGCCGAGACCCAGACTGTAAGGCGGCTTACATTGTTATTTTGCGCTATACTAGGAAATTACGTCATTTAGTGCCGGGTATAAATGCATTATGAGTGAAAAGACATCTGCACTATTGATTTTTAATTCTATGGTAAGTTTAATATAGCTTGTTATTTAGAGCGAAAATCTGATGACCGAGATCCTTGTTTTTATGTCATATTGCTCATGGAATTGTTTAAAAAGCCCAAATAACTTTTATAACCAGTGCCAAAAATGCTCTTACATATATGAAGTACTTGGTATAATTTAACTAAATGAATGTTATACGTATCTTCTGTCCATTAGATGGACTTAGATAAAACTATGTTTTATTGTGTAACTTCAAAGAAAATATCGTTCAAGTGCATTATTACTAATCATTAGTGACACGAACGTAACTATACTTTTAACTCTAATTTTAACCGTCTTAATAATTCGAGTGCTTGTTATCTCATTGGTTATTTTTGAAGTAAGTAAATATAGAAACAGTTTGCGTAACGGTTACATGTTGTAGTATAGGAAAATTTATCTTTTTGGTTATAAATATTTAATGATATGCAATAATATTTTTTGAAACCGGTTTCGTTTTTTAGCGTAATGAACGAGACCAAATGTGGTTGTTTATAGTTGAATTTCTTTTTTTATGCGGCGAAGTATTTTAGTTAGGTATATGAATAAATATTTGGTTATTCCGCAAATAGCTGTAAAGATTTTTATCACATTAAAATTGATATAACATAAAGGTTACTTTCTCTGTGGCACAGATACCTACTTAATGTATAAAATTCGAGAGACAAAATCGCCTCGAGCTCGCATGATACATATGTAAATAAGTAGGTACCTGCCTAACTAAATTGTTGCCACTTAGAATCTATTTGGCGCATCAATCAGCGTCGATTACGAAACAGTCGGAACACAAGTCGATGATCCGTGGTTGACCGACTCGCTTCGTACTAACCTATTTTTGTTCGGTTAATAGCACCGGACAACCCGATTGTATCGATTAATTTCTGATTATCATGCCTATAACGTGAGGTTATGTGGTTCTTTAATATCGAAAAGTTGAAGTAGTCTTTCCTCCAAACATATTTTACGTATCACAGCGACAACTAAGGTTAAAAAAGTAATAAACCTATAATGGTGAAGCATTTTAAGAATGACAATCAGACCGTAAAAAGTTAATTTAAAAATGGAAACCGGTGTAAATTACTATTGCATTGTAATAATATCATTTTCATCTTATCTTCTAAACTCATAGAAATGAGCAAATTAAAAATATCATGTAGGTATGTATCTAATATCATTTTTATATATAGAACCATCACCAAGTAAATACATACATATATATAGCAAGTACACTCGTTACATGTATTTAGTACCAATAATTATAATATAATGCACGTATATCATGAGTACTATACATATACTGCTCATACTGTGTAGTCACTCATTTTCACCATCTAATACCGTAAATTGTATTGTTTACTACTCATACTTTAAATCACGATGTTTTTTTTCATAATTCAGTGACAAATAACAGTTCAGCGACAGTTACCATTACTCTTTATCTCGTTTTAGTCACACAATCCTTAGCTTGTGGTAGTGATAAAGTAGAGCATGAAATAAATTTATCATGATATATTGGTTAAATTGTATATTGAATAATTTTAAAATGTACTTCCATGCTGTCCGATAGACAAGAACCTTGGTGAGTTCTTTTTATTGTGTTTTAAACATATATTACGTGGGTAGGTACCTAATCCTGTATCTGGTATTTTCCCATCATTAACATAAAATAGGTTACCTTTTACTGTCATATTTTCCGTCATAGCGTTTAGTAGTAGGTAGGTCGTAATATTGAATAGGATTTGTATGAAATGACCATGTGAAAATTCTGAGAGAATTACAAAATACATGTGATATATTCTTAAATATAAGAAAAAAAGCATTAGAAGAATTTTCACAACAATTCAAGCCCACAATACAAGCCCTATGAATCGTCGTCAGTGGACGTAGGTGTAATCGACGGTAATTTGTGCGCCTACCCACAAGTAGTATAACATACCTCGTGAGAATTATATCTGATCAAACTGGTTGTATTATTTTAAAACATGCTTCACGATTGCTACCTAAAGCCAGTAATATACTCGGATACCTTGACCGAGCTAGTTTTGCTATGAAAATCAATAAAAAGGCGGCGCACCGTCGCGGACCTTATGGTTGATATAATAAATGATGGTTATGTAGCGTATAGTTCGGGTAATTCAATGACAGAGAAAGACTGTATTTATAAATACAGTCTTTCTCTGAAATTAAATATCTTATGTATGTGGACTTCAAAAGCTTCTGTCTAGTAGAACTTAGTTTTTTTTTAATAAATGTTAACGATTACTTTAATATTTATTACGTTATTAGTTTTGTAAGACTTATATGAAGTTAAATCCAATTATTGCTTTATATTCAGCTCGTAATCATTAATTCATCACTAAGGTACAATATTTCATTCGGATGCGATATTTGTTTACGTTTACGTCCGTCCCTTTTTACGATAAGTCAAAGTTAACAGCCCGTCCTATTCCCATTTGAATATATTAAAGGAGAGTGGTGCAAGTAAATAATCACGGTTGCGAGAACCAGCTTTCAATAAAGTAATAATTCCATGTGGCTTATGTTCAAACCCTGAGACTCGCAAAAAACTACGATAAATTTTAAAATAAAATATTTTTTGTTGACTTGTTAAATAAATAGATTTATAACTGAAATTTGACAAATCATAGCCATTTAGATTTATCTGAAAATTATTTGAATTTAAGAAAAATCATTTGTTCAGTGCCAGTGTTGTGCTCATTTTAACCGACTAAAATTGCAGGGGCGTTCCGAAGCCTTGGTGAGAAGACTGCATCCCTCTTCGATCGCAAGAAGAAGGATGCCGAGCAAATTGCTTCGGAGAAGGCACAAGAAGCTGCCGATGTCGTAGAAGAACAGGTCAAAAAGGCCGGGGAAGTTATTGACGGGGCCGAAAAGACAGCCACTAAAGCTGCGGACGCAGGTGATTTTTAATCTTCTTCAGTGAAGTTTAAAGAACAACTGACCTTTGATAAAACAATTAGACCAAACGTATCAGTTACATGTCAGTTTATATTTATTCTACATCGACATTATTATGATATATATGTACAAATGACACTGTTGTCAAGGTTAAGGACCGCTAATCTTACAAACTTTAGGTAAATAAATGCACTAGATTTTCCAAGAAGTGATTTTTATTTTTTTATTTTTATGTGTATATTTTTATTGCGTGCTGATTCACGGTTAATATATTGTAAGTAGGTAAGTAGTCGCTTTAGATCGTAACAAGAATAAATCTTCTAAACTCGTTAAACATTATCGTTCAGATGCATACGTAAGTTAATCTTTCTCAATCTTTTTCGTTTTAAGCACTCGCCATGTCAAATCCTAGATTTAGAATCTAGTATATGACATCTAAAGGAGACTGCTTAAATTGTTTTTATTTTCTATTATTGCTTGATCCCGAATACAAAGTTTAAATAGTTTAATGAAATGAAGTATTTATTGAAAGGAGGTTAATAAAATTTGTTTAGTTAGAGACGTAATCTTTTTAGGTCACAATATGAGGATATATCTTATGTAATGGGTATTTATACCTGGTAATATACATTTAGTTAATAGCCTGCCTTTTAACCAACACAGCACGTTCTATCACTATAGTTTTTTTTTCTGCACTACTATTAGTAATAACGGAAAATATTTAAATCCAATCTCATAAATTTTATTTAACTGGAAAAAATGTTAGCAACCCTACTGCGTTTCTATTATAGTTTTTGAACGTATCTTTATGATTAAGTGCACGAGAGGAAGTTATCTACTACTGCAGAGTTGTATTACTGGCCATGATACGAAGATATACACAACTTTAGGAAGTCAGAAAACTTAATCGTCCGTTCCTGGTTGGTGCATAGTTATTTGAAAGTTTCAAAGATCAATTTTGGGCTGCAAATGAATTTTATAACCGAGCTATTTCTTATCCTCATAAACACTGGAGTCCCTTTGTTTGTTATAAAAGTTTTCTTTTCATTGTGAAATAAAAGTAGTTCATTGGGTGATTCAAGATTTTTGAGAGTATTGTTTGCTCACTACAATCTTCAGAGGTTATAAATATGCAGGAAAATAGATAAATATAAAATCAAATTTGATTGTAATTTTTGCTATTTTTCGACATTTGCTCACGATGAATTGTGTTTCTAAAAAAGTTAAATGACGCAGAAAGTATTCTTTAATTCACAAGAAGTAATAATAACCTACTGGAAGCCTATTAAGCCATTTAGAAATTCACATTACTACATTATAACAGACAAACATTGGACATCTTTAGTAGCAAATAAATAAGATAAATCAAAGGCAACATATCCTTGCGTATAGCGCTGCCACAGCGTCGAACTTCAAACTAACTTAGTTTGAAATTCGACTCTGTGGCAGCTGTAGCGTTGAATTTCAAACTAACTTAGTTTGAAATTCGACTCTGTGGCAGCTGTAGCGTTGAATTTCAAACTAACTTAGTTTGAAATTCGACTCTGTGGCAGCTGTAGCGTTGAATTTCAAACTAACTTAGTTTGAAATTCGAGGCTGTGGCAGTGCGCAGGTCATCCACCCAACCGATGGTCTGACCAGATCACAACACTGACAGGACTCCTATTAAAACACGATAATACTTCAGAACTGACACGACCTTCAGCAATAAAGCATACGACACCACACCACACCACAAAGACCACATCTCAAAAGCGTCAATCTTTTTCTGCTCATAGGAATGAATTCTTCAGGATTCCGCTCCCTAAAAGAAAATAGAAAAGTTTCAGCTTGAACGATTATATTTTTGGTGTTGTTCGAGAGTTTTCTGTTCCGCCAGATTCAGGTTAACTTACTTTCCTGGTCATTTAGCAATGATCCTAGGTAAACAAATTCGCTGACAAATTCCAGGTCAGTTAGTTCACCTATGCTATCAAGTGTGCCCGATCTGTCTATGATCATTACTTTGGTCTTCGATTTGTTTATTAAAAGGCCCAGTAATCGTCTTTCTGTCTCAACCCTTTTGAACAGTTCAGCAAGTTCCAAATCGGATATCGCAAAGAGTGTGGTGTGAGGTGGTAACTAGTCTGCATATCTGAGGTTACTGATTCTAATCCCTGACTTTAATAATGCAAATATATTATTATTTAGTTAAAGTACCGATCGGTTAAAAATGTATTAAATTTTAATTATTTTATACAGCCTCTAATGCAAAGAATTCGACCATCGACGCTCTAGACAAAGAGCTGTCAAAAGTGTCACTTGCAGCGGGCGAAGCATGCGACACCGCTAACAAAGCTGTTGCTGATGGCAAGAAAGTCATCGACACTACTAAAGGTAAGTCGATTGTTGTAATCAGTCGACTTTTGACGTCATTATTTTACCATGCAATGGAATTTTATATACAACTTTTTTCGTAATATTTAAATAATTATTAGACTAGTTTGCTTATTCATAATGTAATTTATTTTGAATAACTTTATTGCTTATGTTATAAGCTTTACAGTAGAATGTACGTACTTTTTATGGGTAGTTACTCATTTTGTTACTTTTTATATCCTTCCTGTAGACACAGTCGCCAAAACGGTAGACAACACTAAGAAAAGCGCAGAGTCAGCAGTTAATTCAGCCAAAGGTAAGAAAAAATTATACTCATGGGATTGTTTTCTTATCATAAAATTCGCACTACTTACTGACTTTAACACAATGCTTCCTTTTATCTGTGTCTTATTTTTATACCAATCGACTGTGAAAATCAATAATAAAAAAATTAAATTAAAAATTTAAAAAACAACCGACACATCTCGGATTTGAAATTTGTCATAGTGTATTGTATTCTACTAGTCTAGCGCTTTCATTTGATATCCATATTGAAGGAGTTGTGAAAAAATATATAATCCGCCTTTCAAGCAAAAAAATGAAATCAAAATCGGTTCATCCGTTCGGGAGCTACGATGCCAGACACACACACACACACAGAGACACGTCAAACTTATAACACCCACACACACACAGACACAGCAAACTTATAACACCCCGTCGTTGCGTCGGGGGTTAAAAAGAGTGTTGGCATCTTTTGGACTTTCGTAGATTATTTTTTTAGTTACTTTTAATTAGAATTGTTGAAAAAAATGCTTGACTATTTAATAATTTTAAAGCAAGGTGCGGGTGCTAAAAGGTATTTGGTGATTTGGTGAATAACTTATTCTAGTTTTCTTTTAAATAAATCAAAGAGTACTTTTGTTTACCATTTTATGCTTTTGTTTACCTATTTCACGTATGGCAAATCTACATTATTATTAGTATTAAATGATTGTGGTTATGAATTTTCTTTGTAGATACAGTAGGGAGCACGTTTCAGAGCACTGTAGATACCACACAAAAAGTTGCTCAATCGGCTTTTGACACTAGTAAAACCTACGCCAATTCTGCTAAAGGTAGGTTTTACAATTTCGCATAGTTCTGTTCATTTTACACGTTAGTTCACTTTATTAAGCTTAACTTTATTATTTTTTTTGTAGATACAGTAGCTAATACAGTTAACAGTACTGTAGAAAGTACCAAAAATGTTGCCAAATCAGCCGTAGACACAACAAAATCTTATGTAGATAGTGGAAAAGGTATATTGTTTTGACTTTTTTTTCTCTTTTTTTGTGCGTGTTTGTGTGTTAGCACTTGTAACTAATAGAAGTTTGTGTGTTTTGCTAATAATGCTTTAGATACCGCACAAGGCTCATATGAAACGGCGTCGGACGCTTATAAAAATGCTACGAGTTCAATCTATGATATGGGCATGTCGTACTTTGAATATGCCAAAGGTATCTATTTATGTAGTATTGATAGCGCGTTTTTGGAACGAAGTTCCTTATCGCGCGGTACACGCTCTGAACGGTTGAGAGCGAGACCGAAAAATGTTTAGCAAGACTTTTTTCCAACACTTATTGCTATAGTTACCATCCGTGTATGAACTATACATCGCCGCACACGGCTATCCCGCGCGCTGAAATAACTTTAACATTCGGTATTTAATTTATCATTATTTATTCTGTACATAAAAAGTATATTTTATCATACATTTTTTAAGTTAACTCAATGACTGCATAGCAAACGTCTACCAAAAAGCGAAAGGAACTTCGTTTTAACCGGGGGTCCATAGACCCCTCACGCCGGTTTTTGAATTGAGCTTTATAGTTTCATGCGTTTGTTAGTTGAATTATTTATGAACTTTTATTTTAGTTTTATTTTATATTTATCAATATTTTTTAATTCGTATAGATACGGTAGCCAGCACAGTAGATAATACTAAGAAAACTGCACAAAATACATTAGAAACTGGAAAGTCTTACGTCGATTCTGCTAAAGGTAATTAATTAAGTACAAAACTTTCACAATAATGAGTAAAAACAATTAAAGTTTGCACTATACAACAGAAGTGAAGTTTTTTAAATCATATAGTTTTTAATAAGAAAACAAATGAAAATAGTGTAATAGTTAAACATTTGCTAAGTAATTTGAATTTGTGCGGTTCCTGGTAAGTGACCCAGAATTTTAATTTTATACCGCACAAACATTAAGTAACTTTGAAAGCTCTAAATTTTAAAAATTAATGAATAATTTATAATAAAATAGTAAAAAATATATAATGTTTTACTGCGAATACACGAGTAGATATGTGTGCGATATTAATAACCTACATCGTAATAAAATAATTTTATTAGTTTTAAAAGTTCTCTGGAAAAGATAGAGATGAGTTAAGAAAACCTTTTTCCTGCTTTTTCTTCTTAATTTTCTATATCATATTTTCTAAATCATAGTTCCCATAGTAAATTAAATTCTCAAAACACTGTTGCTAATTACGATTACTCTCAGTTGAATTTTCTTAAATAATTTATCATATTATAGATACAGTGTCAAGCACCATTCAGAGTACAGTTGATACAACCAAAAATGTTGCACAATCCGCTGTTGATACTGGAAAATCATATGTTAGTTCAGCAAAAGGTAAACTGTATGATCTTAAAATTCTGATTATTTAAATACGTTCTCTGATTCTTAAAAAAAAAAAGTTAACATTTATGTGTTGATTAAAGTTTAGTCGATTTACATAGTGTGTTTATTGTTGTTTTTAAAACTGTTGTATTGAAATTGTATAACAGTCATAGAAAATACCCTAGATTTAAATCAGGACCGGGAAAATATAGGTATTTGCGGTTTTAAGTATGTTTCGTATGTTTAGTTATCGACGTAATTATCATGTTATTTATCATGTAATATTACATGATGAATTACGTTTTTTTATGATTTAGGTACATTTTAGTTTTGTAATATTGTAGTGTTGTATTTCTTAGTACGATGTTTTCTCTTTCTTACTAAAGTTAGGAATATATAGTGGTTATTCACAATATTCACGTCACGTCTTTAGGCAACTGTAGAATAACTTTTATTTTATTTTTCTATTTAATTAGATACGGTTGCAAGTACTGTAGATACCACAAAAAATGCTGCAGCAGCTGCTGTTGAGAAAGGCACCTCAGTTATTGGCAGCGCTAAAGGTAGTTAGACTTGGCATCGAATTGCCTATGAATTCGTTATTTCTCTACCATGTTTACTTTTTTCTGTTTTTTTTTTTTACATAGACACCGTAGTTAGCACTGTGCAAGCTACAGTAGACACGACTAAGAATGTAGCTTCAGCGGCAGTAGATAAAGGCACATCACTAGTTGGTACTACAGTGGACATGACTAAAAACGCAGCTGCCACCGCTGTTGACAACAGCACAACACTTATTGGCAGTGCCAAAGGTAGAAGCAATGTATTTATAAAATTAAATATATACTAATCTTATGAATTCCATTGATTTAATGAGTATTTTTGCTGTTTTTCTGTTGATATGGTAGATTTTTTGTACTGGTTATCAAAAACTATCGGTAGATGTAACTAAACATGTTGTGTTGATAAAACCACATAATTCGTTAGCTTATAGAGGACACATAGTATAACATTTACATTTCGCAAATGTTAAGTACATTAATTTAAATATTAGGTCTACATATTACCTATGAAGTTGGAGATTTGTAAGCAAATTTTAAAATACCTGCCCATAAAGAAATTGGTTATTTTTTTATTTTAGCTAACCAAAGCGCTGGCCCAAATTATATAGTCACTTTTGCCATTTTGATTGCAAAAGCGTTTTAACTGCCTCACGGGTGTTGAGTTTTTTCCCACTTAAAAATTTATAAAATTTTGAAAAAAGTAGAAATCTTTTAAGCTAAGGTCCGGTGTGTACGATGGCTGACGGAGAGCTTGGAGCTGTAACTCCTGTAGCTTTGCGATGGTCTGTCGTGAAGTGTTTGCAATTCTTGGCAATAGACATCTGCTGTCAGTGTTGTGATTCTTTAAGAAGCTGTAATGTACATGTCCGGCACTGGTCCACCAGACGGTCACCATCATCTTCCTATAGGTAATGTTTTTTTTAGTGCACTGATTAGGTGCCGTACCCGGGTCAACTTTTCATAGCAGGTAACAACTCGATTCTATGCCGATTCAGTAGTGTTAATAAAGTAGTCGCTTAGTTCGTGTGCCACCCACTTGTCTAGCTTTTTTATCTTTTCGATTTGTCGCAAATTTTTCAATGTTGTTTAGACAATAACTCCAAAGCCCGCAGCAAGCTCAGCCGATGATTAAGTTGGATCCGTTTCCACTATTGCTTTCAATTCGTCGTTGTCGACTACTATAATTACCGGCCGACCGCGAGACTCGTTCCTCAATCAAATTTTCCAGATCTAAAACGATTGAACCAATAAAGGACCGTGTTTATGCAAGCAGTGTTAGGTCCGTACACGTTGATAATGTTTCGTATTGTTTATGCAGCTTTATTTCCACGTCGGAACTCATATTCGATGACGACGAGTACGAATTTTCTTTTAACTATGGCGCTGAAAAACTACCACAACTGCACAAAACATTCCACTATCTAAAACAAATGACTGAATTTTAAATAAAAATAACATGGTTTTCGAATAAAATATATTTGAATTTCGAATTGCGCGCCAATCCACAGATAATTAAATTTGAAAAGCTGGTTCTAAAAATCTCCAACTTTATAGGTAAAGACCTATTTATCCATAATTTATGAAACATATAAGCTAACTAAGAACTAAAAAAATATGCAAATAACAATATACAGATATGAAAAGGCTATAAACAAATGTATACGTTTGCGGGTTATATTAATTATTTCTGATACTTAGTTACTAATTACTGCTATAAAGTAGACACGATAATAAAGATAGATCACGCGGTAAACATGACTAAATTTATCACTGCAATTGCTTTCAATGATATTCATTATTTATTAGGAGTGCAAAAATTTGTACTATCTCAATTTAATCAACAACTACTTTATTTTATAAAGTTTTATTTTTCTTCCTATACGGGGCTTTCTGAACAAACTAGCTGTATTGCATCATATTTATTTTATTTGTTAGTCATTTTGCTTTTATTTTTTTAGATACAGTTTCGAACACAATTAAGAGCACTGTAGACACGACAAAAAATGTCGCTGCTTCTACAAGTGATAAAAGCGCATCACTGTTTAATTCAGCTACAGGTAACAACAGCAGGTTCTTATACAACAGTACCTAAATCATTTTTGCTCGTGTTTAATATTGCTGTTGTAAAATAACTGTTTACGAAATATAATTATTTTTAAAGCATTTTTTTAGATTATGTTCGATATATTTACGATAAACCTCCTTTCTAAGGAGAGGCCCATGTCCAGCAGTGGACTATTAAAGGCTGTTGATGTGTGATGTGATATTTACATACTTTTATAGATACGGTAGCTGATACCTACGATTCAACAAAAAGCGCAGCTGCATCTGCTGTAGGCACAGGTGTATCTTACGCTTCTAGTGCCAAAGGTGGTTCATACTTACACAATAGTTTTGATTTTTTAACCATTTTATTTTATTTTATTATTTTGTTATTTTAATTTTTAGACAGTATCGCAAACACTTTTAGTAGCACAGTAGACGCCACAAAAAATGTAGCATCATCAGCAGTCGATACAAGTGCATCTTTCGTAGGCAGCGCAAAAGGTATTTGAAATTAATAAATTCAATCATTCATTCAATTCATTAATTTTAAACAATTTTAAAGATGATTAAATATTTAAGTTTCAGTTTAATTTGTATAAATTACGGGGGTCACCTTGAAAGTTTTAAGAAAATAAAAAACGGAATGACAAATAATCCTAGTAATATTTTTATGGCATTTCGAAGTCTACGTTTCTTTCTAAGCACATCGCATGCGATGGAATCATTGACTCAAGCAGTTAGCCCACTCTTTTTAGGGATTTTTTCCACGCTTTTTTTAGCCACGTCATCTTCAGGTGTTATAACAAATATCTAAGTGTATCTTTCAATTTTGAAAATAAATAATAGTCGGAATGTGTCAGGTCAAGATTGTGAGGAGGATGACTGACTAGCTCTACAAATATTCCATAGTCTGGCTGAGAGAGTTAGACCGTTGTTGTGGTGGAGGAGGATCCTGCTTCTTGGACGCTGCTGTCTAACATTTTAAAAGACAGCTGGTCGACAATGACTGACATTACCAATCTACAGTATCAGTCCTATTATCTCATATAATGATTGTTACCAAATGATTCGTCCGTCGAATAATGAGGCAATCGTCTTTTTCCCTTAACTTCTGCCATTCATTGCGCAGATTGTCGTTTCGTTTCGGGTTCGTAACAATATATCCAGCTTTCACATCCTGTGATGATGTTATAAACAGCGTTTGCTTCACCTCATTATCAGTCACCTCTGTCATACTTTTCAAGCATTGTGTAAGCTGCTTGAATTTGTTGATATATTTTGTTCTATCATTATAGAAGGGTGACATATCAACCCGCACACGTCTAAACTCTTTAAACCAGTTGTAAACAGTGGCACGAGATCTGGCTTCGTAATGAAATGCCAATAGAAGTTTATCGTAACATTTTTGTTGAGTAGGACCGCAAAGTCGTAATAAATTATTGTTCGAAAATTTTCTTTAGTCAATCGGTTTTGATACATAACAGACACTTTTTAGATTGCAGCCAATTTGTAAACAACAAATTCCTTATGAAATCACTAAACAAATACAGATTCCCAAAGATTCTAATTCGAAAATTAAATCAAATTTTAAACGTCCGCTTTTCTTACAGGCCTGTTCTAAAAACTTTCAGTGTGACCCACGTTATTGGAATTTTGTAAAATCACCTGTGATACAGGTGTCTCGCAAAAATACTTTAAAATATTTGTATCTGATAACTTCAAAACCACGCTAGTTCGCTATAATTTCTAATAAAAAACGTGTATTTTATTCCAATAATAAACATTTTTAGATACGGTAGCTCAGACTTATGATTCCACAAAGAACGCAGCTGCATCTGCTGTAGACACAGGTGTATCTAACGCCACTAGTGCCAAAGGTAGTTAGTAGTCACGATAGTTTTGTTTATTTTTATTAATTTATATTTTATTTCATTTATTTTGTTATTTTAATTTTAGACAGTATCGTAAACACTGTTAGTAGCACAGTAGACGCTACGAAAAATGTAGCATCATCAGCAGTGGATAAAGGTGCATCCATCGTAGGAAGTGCAAAAGGTATTCAAAATTCATACATTCTGATCAATTTTAAAGATGATTAAATATTTAATTTGAATACACTATTTGCAATTTTGTACGGTCCCTATGATACAGGGAGTCTTAAAAAAAAACATAAAAAATATTGTATCTGACAACCTTAATTCCACTCTAGTTCACTTTTATTACTTACAAATACATTTATTAAAATATGAACATTTTTAGATACGATAGCTCAGACTTATGATTCCACAAAGAATGCAGCTGCATCTGCTGTAGACACAGGTGTATCTTACGCCACTAGTGCCAAAGGTAGTTAATAGTTACGATAGTATTGTTTTTTTTTTAACTTATATTTTATTTTATTTATTTCGTTATTTTAATTTTAGACAGTATCGTAAACAGTGTTAGTAGCACAGTAGACGCTACAAAAAATGTAGCATCGTCAGCAGTGGATAAAGGTGCATCTATCGTAGGAAGTGCAAAAGGTATTCAAAATTCATACATTCTGATCAATTTTAAAGATGATTAAATTATTATTTTTTGTTAAATTTGAATACACTAATTGCAATTCTGTAAAGTCCCCTATGATACGAGGAGTCTTAAAGAAACATAAAAAAAAATTGTATCTGACAACCTTCATTCCGCTCTAGTTCACTTGTATTACTTACAAATACATTTATTAAAATATGAACATTTTTAGATACGGTAGCCCAGACTTATGATTCCACAAAGAATGCAGCTGCATCTGCTGTAGACACAGGTGTATCTTACGCCACTAGTGCCAAAGGTAGTTAATAGTTACGATAGTATTGTTTTTTTTTTAATTTATATTTTATTTCATTTCTTTTGTTATTTTAATTTTAGACAGTATCGTAAACACTGTTTGTAGCACAGTAGACGCTACAAAAAATGTAGCATCGTCAGCAGTGGATAAAGGTGCCTCCATTGTAGGAAGTGCAAAAGGTATTCAAAATTCATACATTCTGATCAATTTTAAAGATGATTAAATATTTATTTTTTTGTTAAATTTGAATACAACAATTGCAATTCTGTAAAGTCCCCTATGATACGAGGAGTCTTAAAGAAACAAAAAAAATTGTGTCTGACAACCTTCATTCCACTCTAGTTCACTTTTATTACTTACAAATACATTTATTAAAATATGAACATTTTTAGATACGGTAGCCCAGACTTATGATTCCACAAAGAATGCAGCTGCATCTGCTGTAGACACAGGTGTATCTTACGCCACTAGTGCCAAAGGTAGTTAATAGTTACGATAGTATTGTTTTTTTTTTTAATTTATATTTTATTTTATTTCTTTTGTTATTTTAATTTTAGACAGTATCGCAAACACTGTTAGTGGTACAGTAGACGCTACAAAAAATGTAGCATCATCAGCAGTCGATAAAGGTGCATCTTTCGTAGGAAGTGCAAAAGGTATTCAAAATTCATACATTCTGATCAATTTTAAAGATGATTCAATATTTATTTTGTTATTAAATTTGAATACACCAATTGCAATTCTGTAAAGCCCCCTATGATACGAGGATTCTTAAAGAAACATAAAAAAAATTGTATCTGACAACCTTCATTCCACTCTAGTTCACTTTTATTACTTACAAATACATTTATTAAAATATGAACATTTTTAGATACGGTAGCCCAGACTTATGATTCCACAAAGAATGCAGCTGCATCTGCTGTAGACACAGGTGTATCTTACGCCACTAGTGCCAAAGGTAGTTAATAGTTACGATAGTATTGTTTTTTTTTTTTAATTTATATTTCATTTTATTTATTTTGTTATTTTAATTTTAGACAGTATCGCAAACACTGTTAGTAGTACAGTAGACGCCACAAAAAATGTAGCATCATCAGCAGTCGATACAGGTGCATCTTTCGTAGGAAGTGCAAAAGGTATTAGAAATTTAGAAATTCTGATCAATTTTAAAGATGATTAAATATTTAATTTCTTGTTTAATTTGTATACACTAATTTAAATTTTGTAAAGTCCCCTGTGATACAGGAAGTTTTTAAAAAACACTTTAAAATGTTTATGTCTTAAAACTAATTCCACTCTAGTTCACTTTTATTACTTACAAATACATTTATTATATTATGAATTTTTTTAGATACGGTAGCTCAGACTTATGATTCCACAAAGAACGCAGCTGCATCTGCTGCAGACACAGGTCTATCTTACGCTTCTAGTGCCAAAGGTAGTGCATAGTTACCGTAGTTTTGTTTTATTAATTTATATTTTATTTTATTTATTTTGTCATTTTAATTTTAGACAGTTTCGCAAACACTGTTAGTAGCACAGTAGACGCCACAAAAAATGTAGCATCGTCAGCAGTGGATAAAAGTGCATCTTTCGTAGGAAGCGCAAAAGGTACTTCATTAGAGTAAACAACTTATTTTATATTATCTTTTCGGTAGATTTATCATTTAACTTTATTTTCACCTTCTCAGATACGTTAGCGAGCACAGTAGATACGACAAAAAATGTAGCTTCGGGAGCTGTAGATAAGAGTGTATCATTTTTAGGGTCAGCTAAAGGTACTTTCATACCGAGTTCGTGTTATTTTGCTTTATGTTCAGCTTATCATTGAGTATTATTATTTTGTAGATACGCTAGCAAACACTGTACGAAGCTCTGTAGATACGACTAAAAACGCTGCTGGTTTGGCAGTTGATAAGAGTGTATCTTTCGTTGGAAGCGCTAAAGGTACACAAGAGTATAAATTCGTGTTTAAATGCCTCCACTTAAAATATACTAACCTGCTATTTCATGATTTATGTTTTATTGCATGCATGCTCTTAATTGGTTTCTGTCTTGCCTGTTTCCTAATTAATTTTATTTTACTTTGTTAACCCTGTTTTGCTAACTTTTTCGTAGATACAGTATCGAATACTTTATTTAATGTAGCCGAAATGGAAGCGGTAGAGGTGTCAGACAGCATAGATTGTGAAGGTAAACTATATTTTTTAAGCTTTATTTAATTATATTTACTACCTACGAGACCGGTGTTGGTGGTGTGGTATATTTAGACAAGTAAGCCATTTTTTTTTTGCTTTTAGGTAATCTAATCTATATGTAAACAGATAGGTAGTGGATTGTGATTGAAATGTTTAGTAACTATTTCTTTTATATTTTGTACATAGTCATACACTACAACAGGCATAAACACAATTATGTGTACCGAATTTCGTAGTTTCGTAGTAAAAAACTAAAAATTGTGTATACTAGTCGTAACAAAAATTTTAAATCGTCTTATGAAGTTATTATTAAAATTAGCTTTGCAATAGATCTCATACTCAGGCTTAGCCTCTATCTTGTACATAGTTCTGTTCCTGGTTTTTATGTGTGTGAGGAAATGATTGATTAGGAACCTAATCCAGCTTACCAGCCCTTCATCACTCAAACAATAGTATGGTAACATTTAGCATATTCTTTTTGCATAGTATTGTGTTACTATAAGTTTAAGAACAGACGTTTGGACATCAGCGTGGAGTCTCATTTTGAGTGGTGGTGAGTTGGACTACTGTACGAGGGTTTTTGATTTTCTTCTTCATTAATATTTAAAAAAAGTAGTAGACGCTGTTTACTATAGCGGTGTTATTTCTTCTAGTATTCCAACCAAAAAAGAATCCTTAGAATTAATAGATTATTGCAAACAAGCAGTAGAAGACGAAAGTGGTATTTGCAATAGTCAGCATTTTAGCATGTAAAAGAGCGTTACTGACAAATCTTTTGAGTTCGTTGTGTGGATGCTTGACGTTTAATTATTGATATGTAATTTTTAATGCTTGTTGGACTTTGTGCGTTGTAATATAAACCTTTAGCTTGAGGCAAAATTAAGTATTGTGAAACTTGATTGTTCTATGCATTGTTATACGGTGACATCACTAGTTCGAAGGTTTCCCTATGATGCGTCACGCTTATAGCTAGACTACGTTAGTTATCCATTTTAAACACACCTACTATAAATTAAACAATGTTCTATCACAAACGCACGTTCAAGTGCTTACTGTGAATGTTGGTTAGTATCTTGAGGGTAGATCACCACTATTAGATTTAATAGAAGACCACTCAATATTTTAGTTATATCTAAATACAAGTTTAGAAGAAAAATCTACTTAAATTAGACTGTCGTTGTTTTCGACAAACCTGTTTGGTGACCTACACAAGTGCTTTTGTGAAAACAACTCTTGAAAATTAAGCTATTTACTAAAATGTAAATAATTAACTTGTTCGAAGCACTCCATTGAGGTGCAAGTCTACTTACTAAACACACGGGCAGGCAAGTGTTCATCCTAGATATCACACTTATTTGTAATTAGGTAACTCCATGAATTAGGTTCACCAATATTTATCGTGATTGTTATGTATTAAATTGTGAAATAGCAAATATACGAGCAACTTTTGTCCTCGTAAAAATAAAGAAAAACAATCGCTTTTCCTCAGCAAAGGATTGAATGCGCCTTGTGTGTATGTAAAAATCCTGTTTAACTTTCTTTACATATTTTAATTTTTTTTGTTAGATACCATCAATACAACAGTGGATGCGACTAAGAAAGCAGCTGAAGATGCGAAGGCTCAAGCTGCGAAGGTTGCTGAAGACGCGAAGGAGAAGGCACGGCTAGCCGCAGAGGCCGCGCAGGAGGAGGCCAAGAGAGTCGCTAGTAAGTACTTAGGATATAATATCAGTCTTTACTAGATTAGCTTTCTAATCTATATAATTTTTATTATGGTGTTAGATATGGACACAAATTATTACGAATGATAAATGGTAAATACCTATCTCGACATTAGATTACCAAGCACTTCTCTACTGGTGCGTTCCTGCTGGTTACAAAAAAAAAAACGGTTTATAACACATGATAAAGTACCGGTTACCGCTTCCCATGTGCTAATTTACCACTATCGGCTATAATTTCGTTATATTTCATAACAATGTCACGGTAATGATAGATAACATTACCGTGACAATATCATGTCTTGTAAGAAAATTCTAAATAAATCATAAGTTGGTAAGTGTGTGTAATTAATGAAGTGTTCACTAGAGCAATTAATAATATTGTTTACCTCTTGTCAAAGATTGGTAGGTAGGTATTGGATTATTTTTGGAGTTGTTACCTAATATCATGTCTCGGTAAACATAAACCAGACGTATCAGTTTCATATTAATCTCTTTATGCTTCTTATTTCTATAATAAAATTATCTTTTTGTTTTTATTCATTATCGTCTGCTGACACTTTGGACTTTTGACGAACGCGTTTGATTGGTCTTCTAGAATGCTTTTGAAAAAAACATTTATATCTGGACCAATCAATTAACCTTTGATATGCCACTTTACTGTACAGTACTTTACTTTACGCGCTTTACTTTAAGCATTGTACAGTAAAGTGGCTTTTTTTTTGTGAACGTTAACGATAACTTTAAATAAACTTAAATGTAACATTTAATTCGTTTCAAAACCCCAACGCTTAGAGAGTTTGCTTCATGGTTAAATTATAGCCATCGTTCCACACGTCAAAATTTCCATCACTTGGATAATTGGCATTTCACCACTTTGTGCTTTTCAAGACACTTTTTGCTTCACACAACCTATCTGTAAAACAAATTGTCGCCTGTGGTATTTCCTGAGCGATACGACCCTTAAACTTTAAGAAAAGAGCTCCAAGGCCGAAAACGCGCTTGTGACTCCTGAATTGCCTGAACTCCTGGGGCGATGGTTGTCACTTTTCATCAGGTGACCCGTCTACTCGTTTGTTCCTTATAATATAAAAAAATGGTAACACTGATACTTCACAGTTAAACTTGGAACATCATTCGGCATGTGCCGAAGTTGGACCTGTTGCTTGTGTAAATGCAGACTATAAACATCCCTATAATAATCGCTTCTAAGTATTTGCATAGTTTCAAGTTCCAGAGCTCTTTGGTTGCATATCCTATAGGACACCATTTGAGTCTACTTTGTGAACACTTGAATACATTGGAATAAGTATCATTCACAGTAAAATTTAATGAAGTAACTCTCGCACTAGTAATGTGTTACGTGTACATATGTATACTACCCTAAGCTGTTAAATACCTAAAATCCGTGTTAAGGTTGTCTGGAAGAGATCGCTGTGAGCGATAAAACCGCCGATTGTTACGTCTACTTATTTGTAACTCATCTTCTATTTTCTTTTTGAGTGTATACAATAAAGATATAAATAAATAAATTCATTTTTTGTATTAAATTCCGTCTGGCTTAACGTTGTATTTTTACAGGTGATTATTTCGTCTCTCGGTAACTGGATTGACACCACCCTAATAATACTACTATTAGGCAGATGATTTTCTGTGTGCTTCCACCAGAATGCTCCTAAATTCCTAACTTCTTCAATGAACATTTCTCAGACGCCGCAGTTGAAGAGTCTAAGAAGGCAGCAGAGAAAGCAGCATCAGATGCGAGCAACGCCATCAATAGTGCCGTTGACAACACATTCAAACGAGTAGGGGACGCTTCCGATGAGGGTCTCAAGAACGCCGGACATGTCATTGACTCTAAGATCAAGGACACCGATAAATACCTGAACGAAAAGCGAGAAAATGTAAGAACATATATTATTTTAACTTCTTGGGCCTTTTCATGTCACTTTTATTCGTAAGTGTATCAGTATCTATCACATAAGTAGAAAAAGGATTCTAACCAATAATCATAGTTTCTTATATTTTTTAAAGACAACGCCCGTATTAGTAATATACCTGTGTCGTAGGGGACTTTACAAACATACATGAAGCGGATACAAAGAACACCCAGACTCAGAACAACAATTAGAAGTTCACACAAAGTGTCGTCCCATGTAGGGATCGAACCAACAACACTCAGCGTAGTAGTAAGCGGCGTGGCGATCGCTTAAACCGCTAAGCCATCCAGTCATAGTTTATTTACTACTTGGCTATATCTTGTATAAAGCTATATATACTTGGATAAAGCTATATCGGGTTATTTTGTTTAAATGAATAAAATATTTTTTTCGAAATAGTATTTTTGTGGATAAAAATAATATCTAATTCAGTAAAAATAACAACTAATTAACTTTTTCGGGTTGTGGGTAGTTATTTCGAGACACTTTTCTAGAAAAATCTGTTAATTTCTGTTATCTGTTAAGGTTAAGTACAAGTGACTTGAATATTCAAGATGAATAAATAGTTTAGGTGTTATTTCTATTTATTTATGGTACACACTGAACACATACATATATATAAGTAACAAGGAAAAGTCATGTACAAAGGCGAGCTTAACCCAAAACTGAGTTATAAAAATATACGGTTTGTTATAAACCGATACATGATAAAGTACCGGTTACCTCTTCCCAAGTGCCCAGATTATTTATATTTAGCTTATTTACCACTATCGGCTATAATTTCGTTATATTTTATAACAATATCACGTTAATGATTGATAACATTACCGTGACAATATCATGTCTTGTAAGAAAATTCAAAATAAAACATAAGTTGGTAAGTGAGTGTAATTGATACAATAAAATAAAATAAACTCTTGGTACACGTAAAGTATTCTGAAATGAGTTCAACCGTTAACAATAACAATAATAATAAATATAACAATAAAAAAAACGGATTGCTCTTAATAATCTTTTTATTTAGAATATCTTTGTTGTATTTCCAGTTGATCTCCGGTTTATCGTCCGCGGCTCATGATGCCTCACAAGGGGCTACCGGCCTACTCAACAAGGGGCTCACCGCTTTCCCCAAGTAAACTGAAGTGCAACCATCAATCATCGCTGACTTCGACGTTTTTAGGGAAATTTACAGGACAAATCACAATTCCAATTTATGAAATTGGTTAAAACCATTGATATTGTATTAAATGTATAAAATAAAAGGTCGTATGCGATCTTACAAGAATCTTCTCAAAAATATATTGTGTATGTATTTATAAGCTAATCAGATAAAATCCTGTTAATTTTCCTCAAAATATGTTTTAACAATCCATCACATTTTGTTTATAAACATACACATTGTTTGTAAGTTGGTTTAATTTTTAGTACAATATATTGTATAGATACCTACGATAAGGCAAATTCAACTGTTAAGAACTACAATATTCTATAACATTGCTATAATTATATACTTACACAATTATAGTCAAATTTATATACTTTGCTTGACAATTTTAATTTTACATCATTATTATTTGCAATTGCAATATTTCACTTTATATTTAAGTTACAATATAGTTATCGACAAGAAGATCGATTGTATAAGTTTAAGTTATGATTAGCTGATTTTATACTTTGCATTTCAAATGCATTTTGCGTATACGTTTCTGTTTGGCTTATTACCGTCCATGAATAATAGCCTTAAAAATACGTCGTTCCTTCAACAGTACCTACCTTAAAGATTGCGATTAAAAAAAAACAATGCTATATAATATAAATATTTGTTGAATTACTGCTTCGCAGTCTATTTTATGATACGAATATACTGATGTTATATATATGTTATAGTATGTATGTATAATGTTATTTTATACAAACTATGTATACATTGTCGCAGTTTAAAATGATGCTATTCAAAGCATTGCTTACAATTTCTTTTTCTATCGGTGTTAAAAATAAATATTTTATATTCATCAAAATATTCTTGTGTTCAGTGTATTGTGGTATTACTCACTACGTGTTGTTCAATAAATATTTGCGACCCATAACAATGACATTTTATTTATTAAACGTAACAATAGAACTATGAATTAAAATACATTGTCCTGTATGTTCAATAGGGAATATGCACGTGACACCAAAATGGACAAAATATTTTTATTTGTAATTTTTATTGCTAAAAAAAGATACCCATACAATTATTTTTGAAATTTATTATAATTTAATAGTGAAATTTAATCATCAAAAATTGGCTTTTTTAAGATTCCCTCGCAAATTTCTAAAACGCAACGCTATTGGTTGAATAAAACGTGACGTCAACCTACACTGTCAAGAGTGTCAACAAGTTGTGTGTATTTGTAATATTTGGTTTCTGGTAATTATTTGTTTCATTTTAAGTTAATAACTAATAGGTTTTCAGTGTTAAATTATTAAATTCCCGTGTAGAAAGACTCAACACAATGACTGAATATACTTTATCAGGTGCAGTTTTTATATTATTTGGACACAAAGGAACGGCACAATATTTATAATAAGTTTTTATTGGCTTTCCATGGTAATAAGTTAATTTTTATCACTCACTTTTTTAACTTTCAGAAACTTTGTGAACTTCACTCCGTTGTTGACATCGAATTCGTCTGAAAGTGTAATCTGACGTCACAAAAAAAGCGCGCCAAAATGGACGTGTTCAAATTGCCCCAAAATGATAGTGATTTTAATAAATTTTTTTTTGCTTAACGGTTTATATTTCGGATGTGTTATATTAATTTTTGGTAATGTAATAACTAGTAGAATCGTTAAAAAAAATAAAAAAAATACATGCATATTCCCTATTGGTAAGCTGTGTACATAATAGATCTTTACCTATGAAGTTAGAGATTAAAAAACCCCAGGATTTTCAGATTAAACTACACTATCAAGAAAGTACCGGGCAAAGATCAATAATACTCAAAATGCTTGTTATTCATAGAAATTTATTTTATCACCTTCAAAGTATGCTCCTTCAGAAACGATACTTATGCCAACGAATAATCCAATCATCAAAACATTTTCTAAACGCTGTTGAATATCGTGGTTGCTCGATGTACTCTGTACGAGGTGAGGGAACTGTCACTCCATTCTCACACCACTAATATAAGTTTTTTACCTATAAAGTTGGGGATTTGTATGTCAATTTTAAAATATAGAAACGCTGTGATTGGCAAGCAATTAGAAATTCAAATAAATTTTATCCGAAAGTCATGTAATTCAATTACACATTTTTCATTTTTACCACGGAAATCTTGTACTATCCAGAACTGAAAGATAACCCACTGGCTTGATGGGTTTGAGAGGTACTTCATACATCATGAAACTAAAACTTACCAAAATATGCAGTCTATATACATTAGAAATTTAATTAACACTGAAATATATAATTGAGACAATTTATTATTTTTGCATATGTAAATTATTTTACAAAAATAGGTCTGCGAAATGCAAGTTTACCGCCTTTTTCATCTAGCTCTTCAGTATAAATTATCAAGTCTTAATGTTACCCTTTTTTTAAATCTCATTTTCTTCTAATTATCTAAGCAAAAATAAAACGTTAAGCTGTCAAATTTGACAGATGCAACTGAACATTGTTTTAATGAATTTATGAAATAAATACTAAAATACTTTAACTACACGATTATTATGGCGGGGTTGGTTAAGGCGGGATTTTCTTTAGCGAGGAATGCTATTATTTCTACTTCAGTGCGTTCTATAGCTACGACCAAGCCATTAAATTTAAAAGACAGTAAGTGTAAAATGTTAAAAAAAATACGTCAAATTAAGAAATTTATAACCTTAAAAGTGCACATAAGTGATCCGATTTACAAAGTATTCGTTTGTTTTTAGTTCGGGAATGCAAGGAAGGATCTACACTGATTGTCGAAGGAGTGACAGTTCCCTCGCCTCGTACAGAGTTATTAATTCGTGCGGAGAATATTCCGGGTTATGAGCCAGTTGTTCCATCATCAAAACCACCGTGCTATATGTGTGCTCTCGGGCTGGATGTCAAGCATACTGATGTTCTAATTCTTAGTCAATTTGTAAGAACTGATGGGTGCATGTTGCCCAGACGTATTACAGGCCTGTGCCGGCGACAACAGAAAAAGATAGGCAAAATGGTAACAATGGCCCAAAAAGCTGGTTAGTTATAATATATATATATTATTAAATACTCTTCTCTCGGTTTAGTTGCCGAAATTGTGACAGTTGTGTCATAAGAGTTCCCGATCACTCCATAGGTTTAATATAAAGAGTGATGAGATAACTCATGTTAACTTCTAGTCTACTTATACAGATCTGTCAGATTAGTTATTACCAGGCTATTTCTAAATCATATTAAAAAAATTGAATTACGCTAGTTTCATGATTTAAGTATTACTGTTTATAAATTTGCAAATTGATATTCCTATGTTAAAAGAATTTTTAGACCCAAGATGGATATATTGCTATGCAACCACAGCCCCAAACTGCATTAACCTTAAATAAAATTGAAAATAGGGTAGAAGAATGATAATGAAATGATATAAACCTAGGTGGCAATAAACTACTGACCAGTGCTTAAAAGAATATACAAGTTAAATAGGTGTTTAAATTGTTTTACAGGTCTAATGATCAACTTGACTCCAGACAACTGTAAAAAAGATCCTCGGAAAAGACGTGAACACAAAAAGTTCAACACATACTATGATGAACGTACAATCTTCATGAAGTATATTCCAAAGCCATTAGACCGATTCAAGCGCTAGTATTCTTAACTTACTATGTGTACTATGTAAAAAGTAACATTAAAATTGTAATTAGTTGTTAAATAATGTTATTTGATTTATCATTATTTCATTTAAAAAAAAATGTAATCCTTTGCAGTTGAACTGTTTTTTTTCCTGGTGTTTCAGAGGCAAATTCTAGACTTTAAATCAGTGTGGGGGAGAGGATTTATGACAAGTTCTAATTTGTTAACCTACTTGAATTTGTACAAACTAGATCTAATCTAGAAAAGTTATTTACACCCATAATTTCCTTCCTGTAAACCACCCTTGAACCTTTCGTGTTATAATCAATGTTTATAGTAATCTAAATTTGCCAAGATAGCCTGATATGAACATCATCATCATCATCATCAACAGCCTATAACAGTCCACTGCTGGACATAGGCCTCTCCTTAGGAAGGAGGTTTTGGCCTACTATACCATGCTGGCCAGACGGGTTGATATAGGGTGTTTTAAGTTTTCCTACTCTTTGCAGTGCTGTTGTCCTGCGTAGTTTGCTCCCTTAGTCGGCTATTACCACAGGATGAATAGGGGTGGTGATATTCGTAATCTTAATCCCTCACCACACAGACAGCTTTGAGCTATTTACTTGCATTCCCAGGAAATTCATGGTATAATAACATTTATAACAAGAAATTATCTATTTATGAAATTTAACGGAAATAATAGCCAAATGCCAAGAGAATTCTGTTTTGAAAAGAAACCTTTAATGGTAGTCTTTTTGAAACTTGAGCAAAATAATGATAGTATTGATATCAAGCCCAGCATTGTGAATGTTTATAAACAATTGACTAACTCCACACTTCTGGTAACGTGATTGGCATCAGTTATTGCTTTATATATATACTCAGATAATAAAGCTTTCCATTGGTAAATTTTTTTTTAAATTGGTTTAGTTGCTTAGGCATAACACAAACATCTTTTCACATTTTATAAGTTTGGGACTTAATTTGCTACTTTTCAACCAAGTAATTTGTTTGTGGTTATAGGATATGGGATTTTGTTTAAAAGGCTTACTAGCAATGGAAATTACAAGTATTTCCCCTCCAGCTAAGCTAACTTGCTTTTGTTAAGAGTGGGTTCACGTCGGTAGTGTATTTGTCAGGATTCGAAGCGACCTCTCGATCGCAAGTCCAGTGCCTTCATCATTAGGCTACTGCCACATTAAAAAATACTATTATTTTAAAAAATAGAGTAAGTAATAAAGGAAAATACAAATACTTTTTGGTAATAGTTTACTCTCCGTTTTCGTTGTTTTAGTGATGATTAATATACAGCAAAATCAACACTGCATTACCAAATAAATAACACATTATTATGCTATTGTTCATCTCTTAAGCACAAACATTTTACTTACGCAAAGTTGTTTTGATGAACAATTTATTGCGAAGTTCTAATAGTTTCCTTTCATAAGTTTCTGATATTTTGTCATATTTGATAGCAACATATAGTTAAAACTATAACTATCAGCTATATTGTAGTAAAGTTCTTTTTTTAAATGTCAAATTTTGCAACATTACAACATTGAGTTATCCTTTTATAAGGAATCATTGGTAATATATGCCAAAAAAGTATTTTTGGCTTGAATATTAAAATGTAAGGTTAGTAGTAGAAGTGATAACTCCCCAGCTATATGTAAAGTAAACCAGTAGGTTAAAATGAAACTTGAGAGGAAAAATTATTTAAGTAAAAACAACTGATGACAAAATATCATGTTTTGGCATTAGCATTTATAATGATTATTTCTAATTCATTACCTAATCACAAAATACTACAAAACAGATAAAAAGTTTTACAAAATTGCAACACAAAAGCATTCTCCATGCACAAAATAATTCATATAAACTTTACTTTACCCTAATTTAAATTTTCTTAACAATTTCCTTTTTTTTCTATAAATATCGCTCTAAAAGTCGTTTTAATTTTATTAAAATCCCTTATTGTTAATACAAATGCAGTCTAACACATAGTTTGCCTAGTCTCATAGGGCTGTGCCAGCGATTATTTGGTACAACCATGATAAGAGTTCATCGTATTCACAGCCTTTCATAAAGATACAAGTAGCCGAGGTCTTTGGGCGGGTTTTCTGAGCAAGCCACCTGAAATAATACAAAATTTATAAATATATTTATATGCTAGGAGCAGTTTTGCTGGTGTAAATGTTATTTTTCTATCCATTAGGAATGCTACTTTTTCAGAATAAAAACTAGGCCAAGTTTCTTTCACATTATTAAACTAGCTTTGCTCGTGTGAAGCAATTTTAGTAACATTTCGAAATAGTCCTTTTTTCGCGATGAAAGGTACCCTGCGTTCATGACAACATACTTGTATTGTAGAGTATACTGAGAAAAGACTAAACAATGCATCTAAATCATTTTAAGACGTTTTTAAAGATTATGAATACAGATAATTTTTTTAGTGTATGCATGCTTTAATTATGTGTTGTTGTAGATTCCATTGTTTTTATAACACAGTCCACATGTAAGTCGATAAATTACAGCAGTCGATAGATTCAAATGTCATAGAACATGGTTCGGATGATAGCGACGCGTTATATAAAATTAAGGATCATTTTCTTTCGTATATTGTTATAAATAAACCGAGGCGGTCGCAGCGCTCACCTTGTTGTCATTAAATATAACCCATCGGCCCTCGTGCAGCACGTGGCACACGTAGTGACCGACCATAGAGGACGTGCCCATGTGCGAGATGAAGGCCACCAACTTATACTCTGTGGGCAACGAAGCACGATTAGAAAGAGAGCCGTGTAGAGTACAGAGATAGAGCGTGGCGTGTGCGACTCACTCTCGGGCCCGTCCCTGCAGCCCAGCGTGCGGTCGGCGCGCGGCGGGCAGTCGGGCGCTTGGGGCGCGTCGAGCTCGTCGGCGCGGCTGAAGATCCAGTCGAGCGCGCGCGGCACGTCGCCGTCCGTGGCGGCCAGCGCGCGCGCGGCCTGCGCCCGCGTGAAGCCCATGCACGTGATCTGCTCCACGCTCGCCTCGTCCACTGGCGCCGCCGCGCCGGCCTCCGCGCCTGGACCCACATACTCCATTATATATATTGCTACCTCATACTCGAGCATTAACGTCAATTTTTATCAAAAAACATTTTTATGTTGCAATAAATATTTTAATTGCACGTATTAAATTATCAGTTCTCTCCCTTAAATTTTAATAATACACGTGAAACATGGGTACGTGTTTATGTGTGTACGTGTGTGTATTTATGTGGGTAAGTGAACGTACGTGCATTTGCTTTGCATCATAAGTTGAAATAAATCGAAATGTAGATACAATCTATAAGGAATTAACTTTCAGTATCAAATTAATATTCCGATAAAACATAAAAATATGTCCACTAAATCGATATACAATTATAACTGTAATCTTAAACAAAAAGAAGATTTTCTGGCAGTTGCATTTACTATTTACAAACTAAGTTACTCAATAAATAAAGCAAAAGTTTAATACTTTGTTGTAAGTGATCTAAGTTTTTATGTATTTATGAAATAAGGAAATAGATAATTACTTTGTGAGCCTGGCGGCTCGAACTTGTTGGCAAAGTCCCAGTCGGTCATGTGCTCCATGAGCCAGTTGGAGGCGGCCTCCATGCCGCTGTTGTTGGTGTAGTACAGCGCCTTCTTGCACGCCTCTACGGGGAAGCCCATGTCCAGCTGTACACACAAATGCGTCACGTGGGAAACCCAACAATACATAATTGAATCGAAAACGGTTTACACAGTTGACAGGTCTGTATTTCAATTATTATTTTTTTAAAGCTAGATCAGTTATTTCTAGTCATACATGACAATGGCGTCAAATCTCATGATAAACTTTTCAAATTTTAAGATAATCAGGACCACAAAAGTTACATTGGATATATATACTATTTTTACATGTTTCGTTAACATGTTTAAATAATGACAACCAGGTAAGGCCGAGATGTAGGATATAATTACTTATCCTGACTTACAAAGTTTAGGACATAAAAATAGCTGTCAAATTAAAATGATTGAAACTATTAGTGGCATATAAGGAAATTAATTGTTGTTTAAGACGTCAACGGGTTTTTGTATTAATTTTTTTTTACAAATTGGAAAGGGTATGTTACTTGATTTTATTTAAAAGATTTTGCTGTACATAGATTGTTAGGAGCGGGCAAAACTTACGAGTTGTGAGAGTAGCGATTCGTCGTAGACGGGCGCCGGAGCCTCGGGCGCAGTCTCCGGCAACAGCGTCTCGTCCGGCTGTAGCCCGCGACCGCGGAGACAACTTAGATCTACCTATTTATTCAATATAAATAAAATTAAGTAAATGCAGTCATTTCAGTATTGGCTTTTGTGTACAAAATATTTTTTTCGCATATTACATCATCATCAATTATGAATTGAGGTCATATTAGACATTATTTCTGGGACCAAATTTTCGACAGTAAACAGAATTAGATTGAGTAATGAGTTCGACTCATCTTAGCCGATGGAAGTGTCTTGGAATAGCTCAAAAAGCTTAAATAAGAATATTCTCTATAATACTGACCTCCCAAGGCATGTCAACAGCAACATCTAGTTTAGCAGGAGTCCAATCTTCCTTGATAGTGAACTTTTTGAGCTGTATCAGTAAGTAGTCTGGGAAAGTTGCCAATCTAGTGATTCTGTGAAGCATCATGTTGTATGTAATATTAGGAGTGGTCTGATGACTCACAAGCTTCAGAAACTTTCAGAATTTAATAAAATTTTTTGCATCATTATTCGGTATTATAAGAGATAATTCTTAAATATAACATGTAGAAAATTATTTCGATCTGAAAAAAGGTGGTACATACTTTTGAGCTGTAACTTTCTTATTCACGGCACTGCTGTAGAACATCTCCACAGATTCCTCTTTCATAAAGCTTTCCAGACACGCTTGGAATGGTATATGCGGCCGAACTAATTGGGATGGATCTCTGTGAAAATATAAAGATTTCAAGTTTGAATGTCGAGAGTGCAAAATGTCCAGGTAAAAATTTCTTTGTTAATTCCACTGCCATTTAAATATATGTATTACGATTAATAATTTAGATGTACAAATAATTTTATTGTATATGTAAGTATTGAGAATAACAAACTGAAATAGTAATTTCACCGACTAGGTACTTAAAATTTACAACCTTGTGATTTTTATAATTTTCACATACCCTGTGTCACTCTCACTATTAAGACGAATCTAATCTGATGAAATATGTAGCCTATCGCGAAGCGGGCATGGTTTTGTTCGTAGAACAGGCGGGAGATTAGAAATTTCCCCAGCCAATCACAAGGCTAGACTAGAAAGAGATAGAGAGAATTATCTTCTATCTATCTCGTTGTCTATAATGCAAGATTCTGGGTCTCGTTGACTCTATGCTTATATCTGTACGGTAATATGTATGTTTAGGAATAGCGCAGTAGTGGCTCCGCCTATCGGGACGAGAGGCTAAAGCGGGTACTGACAGGCGCTTCCAAAGCTGGTCGGAGCTGCGTCTGCCCTTGGGCGACTTTGACCCAATTTGGGTGGACCCAGCGTCGCAACGGTGGTATGGTGCACCGGTGTGGGCGGCGGCTCTGACCGCCCAGAATAGGGCACGCCTCTGGCGCCCTCAGAGGGTATGGGCGGTTAGAGCCATACGCGGTTACCGCACCGTTTCGACGGAGTCGGCGTGCGCATTGGCCGGTACTCCCCCGTTTGATTTGGAGGCGGAAGTGCTCGCCGAAGTATATCGGCGGACGGCTGAGTACCGGGCGGATAGTGGCAGTCGGCCCCCGCCCGAAGAGATACGTGAGTGGCGTGAGGCCGCTCGTCGAGCATCAATGGCTCGTTGGTCGTCCCGGCTGGAGGCTCCACGTGCTGGCTTTGCCGCCGTTGAGGCGCTCCAGCCGGTGATCGTCGAGTGGGCAGGGCGGCAGCACGGGACCCTTTCTTTCCGGCTGACACAGGTCCTTTCCGCGCACGGTTGCTTCGGGAAGTACCTGCGCTCGGTCGCCAGAAGGGAATTGAGTCCCGCCTGTCACCATTGCGATTGCAGTGAGGACTCGGCTCAGCACACGCTGGCAATTTACCCAGCTTGGGGGATCTCTCGCTACCGGCCGTCATGCGCTCCATGGCCAGTAGTGACAGATGTTTCACCGCGGTCGCATCCTTCTGCGAAGACGTCATCTCGCAGAAGGAGGCGGCGGAGATGGCCCGGGAGGACAATCTTCACTTGGACCCAATCCGTCGCTGTGGAACCGGGCGGCGGAGGCGCGCCTACCACCGCTTCATGCAACCCTGAGTGTGGCCGCGGGTGGACGGGACGGGTTCCCGTTCACCCGCTATAACGGCCAGCCGCGAGGAGGCGATATCCGCGTGTGCCGGACGTCGCCTAAATGGAGATTTTACCCGAAGGATGTGCCCGCGCCATTGCGGGCAGGCGCTAGGAGGGGTCCGGATGTCTTAATAACAGCAGTTCCCGGATCCCTCCTATTACAGGCGCAGAGTGGCACACCGTGTGGTTTTAGTCGGTCCGAGTCCGACACATTACCCCACCGCAAACCCCGGTGAGGTGACGGCCCGAGGGGGTTTCCAGACGTAAAAAAAAAGGGGTACTGACAGGCGCTGCCCGGAGGCCTCGGCGGCGGCGCGGCGGCGCTCGTAGTCGCGCAGCTGGTCGGGGTTGGCGGCGGCGCTGAGCGGCACGGGCAGCGGCAGGTGGTGCTCGGGCCGCGCCGTGTAGCGCACGCCGCGCGACTCGCCGCACTGCACGCGCTCCTCCACGCTGAAGCGCAGGCACTCCGCCGGGTTCCAGCTCGCGCGGCTGTGGCGCTGCGGGCATCGGCACGCTCAGAACCGCTCCGAGATATAAAAACTGACTAACATATTTATACTAATTACGATGATATTCTAATCTTTCAGAATATTTTATTTTACATTTTAAGTCCTTTTCCTCTAGCCGAAGCTAAGTCTATACAATTTTATTTTGTCTATATTTTCTTATTTTGTTCGATTTTAAAAGCACTATTCTCTGTCGCTATGAATTCTATTTGAATAATATTTTTTGTATTGATCGCATACTACTTAATTAAAAACTATTTAACATCAAAACTTAGAACTTAGAAAACGAAACCTAGAATTTGTGTCGGGTAGATATAGAAGCGATCGGAATCCTGCTCCAATATGATTTGTCTTAAAAAAATTAGTTTTTAGTAACTGTAACCGGTACTTACCTGGAGGAGCGATAATAGATGTAAATAGAATTCGTGAGCATCCTGCTGACGTTTGCTCATAAACTCGGGATGATCTTTTCCTACTAGATTGCGATACATATGAGGAGAAACTCCAGCCTGGGAACCTTCTGAGCTCGGGAATGAGTAGCGGCCTGAGAGTAAACCAACTCCTAACTTTGCTCTGTGGAACAAACAACATTAACAGCACCAGTATATGGGTCATACTTACCTATTTTTAGTTATCTTACAAACAACACAGACCAGACTGCCTCTCTGCTGAGTATATATATATATTTACTTGAGGTATAAGTATTTTAACCAAGAACATAACATAAAATATTTTAATGATACGAATTGAAAACACTCTGTGCATACTTACGTCTGTACATTGAAGTCATTGACAGGATCTTCTGGGAAAGTGGCAAATATTTCTGGCGCACCATCCACAAATCGGCGTACAAAATCTGGCATACGGAACATTACCTGTGCAATAAACAAAACATTCGTTATTTTGTTGTTATAATTAAATGTGACCTGTCTGCAACGCTATCAACAACACATTACGTTGATCTCTGATTGGTTAGCTTGACCCTACATTTCACCATATACTTGGACAATAATAATAAAATTCCTTTACGTTATTGCTGTAAAGTTTTGGCCTTCTGTTTAATGCTATGTGTATATATTCATGGGAGAGCTATGATTCGGCAATGCATAACAGAAAACCAGTGTTCCGCAGTGAGTGAGGTTACCAGAGCCTGAACTCTCTGCCCTCCCCTGATTCTGGGGGGAAGGACTACAAAGCTGGCAACGCACTTATTCCTTTTAAGTTGCAGGGGTCCATGGGCGGCGATAGTCACTTACCATAACGTGAGGTCTGCCCGTTTGTCCCCCTATTCCATAAAAAAAAAACTCCGTCTATGCCTATGCATTCAGGTTAATCCATAATATATCTTATTGATATTTCAAGCAAGTTTATCAATTTTTTAATAATATACCTGTACAACACTGTTTATATAGCAAGTATTGCCGAGGTTGTTGAGGCCCGTGAGAGCCGGCCCACTCAATGGCCTCAGTTCACTGCCAGACTCTTGCAGAGTGTTCCATTCGCCACTTCGCTGGTTGAGCTCCAATTCCAGTTCTACCATCGATTTCTCTGTCTGTGAAGGACGAAAACAAAGCGTGTTTGAATGTTAATTTTAATATATATTATACATTACTTTTTTAAATAGAATCTTGGTTTTTAAAAATAATTGTTTGTGTCCAGTGTATATACTAACAACTACTAAAATATGTCGACTCCAGAAGCTTCTTATAACCTTGGCGCATGGAATACGTACCAAGTAGGTATGTACTGCAAAAGACGCGACAACGACGCTGTACAATCTGTACATTGACGTTTTTTAAAACAATTATGACGACATCTTTCTATGTGAACATTCAGTGTATAAACTTGTTTATTTTCTGGATAGCATTATAAAAACATATATGTATAAGTACATAATACATTCGAGTGTAGATCTATAGTTTATTTGATCGAAGTACATATGTAAATATATACTTATAACTTACCTTTTGCAACTGCTGAATATTAATGCCAAAATGTTTGAGATGATCAGCAAGATAGGGATCCTCCACCATGTCATCTTCTGCATAAGAAAACACATCACCTTTTCCATCTGCTGTAATGGTGCCCAGCTTGACTGCTAGAGGATATCCTGTCAGTCGATAATGTTCCACCTGAAAATAATACTCGGTCATTATTTTTTTCTCCAAGCATACCGTAGAGGCTAAACCTCGACCTAAGCTAATGAAAGTACTCCTCATTTTAGAGAAATTTAAAGCCAAACAAACATATGTTATATCAGAGATATATGGAACGAGTAGTCGCCATGAGCATGTATACGTCAGACAGGTGTGCAGTCTTAATCGTATAATAGGGTATCGTATCGTATAATAGAGTATCTGGCAATCTCTTCTCTCAAATACTATGTTTTTTTTTAAGAAAACAATGGTTGCTTATTGTTTTTTATCTTTTTAAATTAGTTCAACATATAACAGGCTAGGACATTTAACATTGTGGCATCTACACCGCAAAGGCGATGTCTCAAATATAAACAATAAGAATTTACATACTGGATATTGTGGAGATTTAAGGTGAATGTGTCAGACTTAAATACTAACAGCATGGTCGTTTCCACCAGAGCCATCGAAGAACCGCCTTCCGCAAAGTATCGATCCATCTGTTAGATTCAGCCACAAATTGTTGGTGAGGTCACATTTAGCGCATTTCCAACCCGAAGGAGGAATTTTGACACCATTGTCCAGTTGTTTCAAACTCACTGCATGCCTGGAAAATTTTCATCACTATTTAATTCAACTATATAATAACGTCTATTAAACACCTGTTTACAGTTGTATAGACAGATTATGTCGAGTGCAGTATCCGCCTCTCTCAAAAGAACATGTTTGGTCTCCTTCGGCCGCCATTGAAACCGACTGTTTGTACCCAGTTGAGGAGGAAAAAATTATTTTGTACGATAATGTTTTTACGAAACCTACTAGTTACGAAGACGTATACATGCAAGAGAGTAAATATTGGTCCTTATTACTGGAGCTAGGTATACAAACTCATGATTCATTAAATACTGACAAGTTATAATTATTTTATTTGTGTCAAATATCTGTCTTTTATGTTTGTCTCGTGAAAGTGGTTACCTATTTAGATAAAAAAAAACTGTAAAAACAAAACTATTAAAAATAAATTTCTTGTACGTAACCGTGGTTTCGTAAAAAGAAAAAAAATCCTGGTTCAAAACTGGTTTCGTACGAAGATCATTGTTTTCTCCTCCTCAACTGGTTACGAAAAATCGGTTTCATAGGCGGCCCCTTCGGCCAGGTTTGCTCTCCTTATTTACATGGAGTGATTGTGTGATTTGCATACATTGTATTACATGCCTGCATGGACTGTATATCCATTCCTATCTTTTTACCAATAGTCACAATTCTTTTTTTTAGAATTTAGAACCGTTTTCAATAATTCATTTTATTATTTCATTAAAAAAGGATTATTATTATCGATTGAGATACCGTTTCTATAAAGATACGATGCCGAATGAATTGTTTTTGTTTAAAACAATTTTACTATTGCTTACACTGAAACCTCGCGTTTCTCGCCATCCCAAGTGCCGGCCATTGCCGCCATTTCCGCAATTTTAAATGGAGATTCAGCGTCTATGACGCTTTGAACAGATTTGTTCACCTGTAAGAGAAACGATTCTGTTCCGTCATTATGATTTGGTCATTTTCAACAATAAAACGCACACATGGGATACTAATTGCTATTGGTCTCAACTCTTGTTAGAAGTTATAGAACTATTCATTGATTCGTCTGAGTATAGATATCAATTTTGTGCTTAGGTAGCTGTAAATGCTCTATTATATATACTATTCGAAAGTAATTTTACTGTAATTCTCAATTGGGTAGTAGTTGGCCCTGTGAATACAAGTCACAACACTCAGATATTGTATTCTTAAACCATGAAATTGTAAACGTTTTTTCTTTAAAGATTGAGGCAAACAGCAGACAGGATGGCAAAGCATTTAAAATATACGAAGGTACTAGCGCCGAGCATGATGACGCTGTTTGACATTTTCTATATTAACTGGTATATGAGAACCTGCTCACTCGACTCGTCACCTTCTTGCTATGTCCACTGTCTGCCCCAACCAATAAAACATACACATTGTGAACATATTGAAAAATCATTTTCTAGGTCTACGAATATTCTAAATATATTGTTTATGAACGTGCAACAATTCCAACTTACGACATCAGGTAAATTAGGATTAGGCCAGGAGTATGTGTGAAATCCAGGCAGAACCACGACACTGTAGTTGTCTGTGAAGATGAACTTGGGCTTGCCACATGTGGGATCGAACCCTCCCTCCACGCCGATTGCTAAGCGTGTTATCTTTTTCTCTGGGCCATCGCCGGTCTTTTCGGGTTCTTGCACCTGATCGAAAAGAATGTAATTAAGACGGGTTGGTAAAGAGTTTGTGTCAAGTTTTCCTTCTCTCTGCAGTGCTGTTGTCCTGCGTATTTCGCTCCCTTAGTCTCGTCTTACGACACCCACAGGATGAATAGGGGTGGTGACACTCTGTATTCTTAATTCGTCACCACCCTACCTCCAATATTGACTCATCATCATCATCATCAACAGCCTTTAATAGACCACTGCTGCACATAGGCCTCTCCTTAGAAAGGAGGTTTTGGCCTACTATACCACGCAGGCCAGAGGGGTTGGTATAGGGTTTGTGTCAAGTTTTCCTTCTTTTTGCAGTGCTGGTGTCCTGCGCTGTTTTGCGCCCTTAGTCGGCTCTTAATATTGACTCATTTGCATCAAATCAATAAGATGAAAAAAAATATGAAAAATTGGTGCCTCATGATTTGACTGATTTGCAGAAAGAAATGCGTGCTAAAACATGTGGTGCCTTGTTGTATCGGTACAGAAACGAAGGCATATTTGATCGAATTGTGACATATAACGAAAAGTGTATTTTTACGATAACCGTAAAAATACAATGGCTGACCCCAGGTCAAACGCTGCAACAGTGTCCTAAAGCAAAGCTTACCAATAAAAAAGGTAATAATGGTAAGTGTTGTATGGTCTCTCCTTGGTATTATTCACTATAGCTTTTTCAGGTCTGGTCAAGCACTAACAGCAGATGTTTACTGTGCCGAACTTCAAACAATGATGGCGAAACTGGCAGTGAAACAGCCCCGACTCGTAAATCGATGTTCAATATTATTGCTCCATGATAACTCAAGACCTAACACTGCACGAGAAACCGTTGAAACTCTACAGGAGCTGCAGTTATAAACCATTGTTGTTCCGACCGACTACAATTTTTTTGGTGAATTGGACAGTTTTCTACGTGATAAAAAAAATTTCTTCCCAGGAGGCAGTGCAAAATGCTTTCACACAGTTTGTCTAATCTAGATCCTTAGAGTTCTATCGTAAAGGCATAAATGTACTTCCGTTTAGATGTAAATAAGAGGGTAAATATTTTGCGGTTGGTAAGATAATGAGGGTAAATATTTTGATTATATAAATATGTTACATCTTAGAAAAAAAAACAATTTTTCAGTGCAAAATTATAACCCCTGATATATTTTTAAATGCATACTTTTTAGAGATATATTACACCCAGATACGAAACAAATGATTCTGCCTTAATCAGGCTCGCAAATTATTGTTCCTTTGAGAGTTCTAAAATAGCTCTAAAAATTCAATATGCTTTTTAACTTGTCTACACAATTATTATTTTTAATAAATAAAAATATATTTGAAAAGCCCCTTTGGCTCATTTCGATTAAAAAATTATTCCTTGTTTCGAAACTCGTTAATAAAATCGAAACGACACATTAGACTAGCGATCGCACAATAATAACACATACATACACATGCCTTTCATTTAATATTGTTATTATGGTGTGTAGTGGACAGTGAATTGTTTCTTATCCATCAAAATAAATAACAGAAAAAATATTATATAGAAAATATTCGTCTTTCGAAACTCGTTTCCGAAACCGGTTTCGAAAGAAGAAACATTATTCTTATTTTGAAACTGATTTCGTAGGCGGTCGAAGGGGAAAAATGTAAGGTAACTTACAGGTTCTTTAGTTCTCTTGATGTGTAGAAAAACAGCATTGCCGGTCTTTTGAAAGTATTGCTCAACATAATTACGTCCAAAACCCAGAAATGATACAAGCGATACGTACAATCCTGTATCTGATTCCTGTAAAATGTAAAATAATATATGTCAAATCAGTCAGATTTTTTAAGTTTAGAGACTAACAACCTGTACATTTGTCTGTAAAAATAATGTCTATGCTTTTATCAGTCAATGAACATGTTAAACAGAACCAGAACAGTAAAGTGAAATGCAAATAACACCACATTTTAAAAAGTACCCCTATAATTTGCATTTGATAAATTGTTATCACCACTTTTGCAACCAAACATAGGGGCAGGATTCGACCAGAACTAAATACGACACAGACAGGATACTACATTGTACCAGACACTTAAATAATGTTAAATTTAGTAGATTGTGTTTTAGGAGCATTTCTCATTATGAGTGGACTTGGGTTAAGCTTATTAAACTTGAGAAGAATTGTCAAGAAGAGTAAAGTATTCTTCCCTACAGTGTTGTTTTCGGAAAATATACTTTTAACATGTATTGGAATTGCTTTCATCACTCGTTCTGTATATGAACTGAACCCGATAAGCTCTGAGATGAGTGACATAGAAGAGAGATCAGCAGCTATTATGAAGACTGAAGATGTGAACTGTAATTTTGCATCAATTCTAATGAGTTATGGGCCGCTTGTTGTGTCACTGGTAAACAGTTTCGTAAGTTTAATTATTGATAATTATATGCATTATAGAATGATAGCAGATGTGAAAAGAAATGAAGATGAAAATGAAGTTCGAGAGTTAAGTGACCCTTTCAGTGTAAACAATGGAATCAAAATCAAGAAAATATTTTTGTTTATGAAGAAGTATTTTACATTTATTGCTATTACTTTACAGTGGGCTTTGCCTGCTCTAATGGCTTTAATTATGTACTCAATAGATATAAAACAAATGAACCTAGTGGGTGAACAAAAGAGTTTTGATATGTCTTGCATGGCATTGCTTGATATAAGTAAAAGAAATTGTACATCACTATTAACTGGAAACAATTCTATTCAGTTTAACCAAAATTGGAAGTTCCTGGGGATGTATGAAAAGGACTTACACAATTATAGTGACCAAAGAGTTGATAATATAGTTGAAAATGTGTACAACATTCTTGCAAATTTACAAAATGATAGCCATTATACAGATCTGGTTGTGAGTACGAGACCTTTATTGCGTAAACCAAAATATGATATAGAACAAAAGTGTATGAAGATATGTTTTCTTGATAACAAAAACTTGCTTTTGTACATTTTTGGAGTATCAATTGTGAGTTTTTTTGTGCCTATCACTATTTCAACTGTAATATTAACCAAAATTCACATAATGGATGTAAAAAATCAGAATGTTAAAACATATGTGAACCGAGAATTACTTTATAATATTCTGTTTTGGACCCCTGTAATGTTTGATACATTTCTTTCTGTAACACTGTGTTCTTACACAATGAATGGAATAAGAACTTCAATTTTCAATGTGATTGCAAATGTTTATCAAGCTGTTAAAAATTTCCTCAATACAAAATATTTTAAAGACAACTCTATTCTGCCTGTCTAGATTACAAGCAAGTTTTGTTTTCCAAATATTAGATTCTTATAGTAACTACTGCTTTCTGGACTAATCACTTTTCTGATTTTTATACTAAATTAAATACAATTTAAATAAAGAATATAGATCCCATTTAGAGCCTACTTCTCTTTACTTATTATGATTTAATGGAGGGCTACCACTTTTAATCTGTACATAACAGTTTGAAGTTATGTCGAATCACAACTCTGCAATGCAAAGCTTTAGGTTTTATTTTGTTTTTAACTTGTTAAGATGAAGATGTATTAGTCACAGTGACATTATTAAATATGGTACTTCGCATCAATTAATTCTATAAAATTAAATTTGACAAATTTACATCAAATAAAAGTAATACAAAAAGTCAATTTTAGGATATGAGTTTCGGTTCTGAATAAACCCTAAATTATAAAAATTGGAAATATTAAAAAGTAGCACAAACATCTTGTTTTATTGAAAAAAATACGAATTGCAGGTTATAATAAAAAGTGCAACTCACCGGATTGTCAAATGAATACACACATTCGTCTTTATATACCAGTTGCTGTGGCCCGGCTATTTTAATTTTAGATAAATGCGGTGTTAATAGATCTAAAGACGCCATGGTCTTGTCTTAGCGTGATGAATTAGATTAAAAATATGTTTTTCTAATCGGTATAGTTCTGTGAGCGTCTCTCCAAAAATACTTTGTTAGTGTTGTACCCACTGACAAGCTCTTTTAACCCGTGGGTCTGTTTGCACTTCTATCGATCAGAGTTGAGAACTGAATTGAGATTGTTTTAATATGATTTTAATATTAAATAAATTTATTTTCCATATTCCTCTCTTTATTATGATAATTTAAAATTGTATGTTTACAATTTATAAGTACATGTGTTTATCGTATAAGGAGAAATTGCAGTGTGAAGAAGAAGTGTAGCAGCGGAAAGAAATATGTACCTAATTTCACAATATTGAACTATTAAGATTCCACACTACAGTGAGATCCCAACAATTTATTTATATAATGCTACTCTATTCCTATCCACATAATACAACTGTCAAATAGTAAGAAAAATTTTAATGAAACTTGAAACACCTATTTTTCGACGAATACTGAGTAGTCTAGTAGTTACAATGTTGCCAAATTACCAGTGTTGCCAACCTAGCGGATTGTCCACTAAAACTGGTGGTTTCGACCACCCCGTTAGTTGCGAAATGCTTTTAGTAGCTAGTGGATTTTTCTAGTGGTAAGATTGTAGAGGACTTAGATGATGATGTTGAAAGATAAATTGTGAGAACTGATTGTGTACGCAAACCTCAGAATTTTTGATACGAAAAGAACAATGGAGATAGGACGGAATTGCTCAGGAAGAGAAGGATTATTAATTTAAGGCAATTGGATAATGTAAGCTTTATATAAGAGAGAGCTAAGGTTACGGAGTCAATAATGCTAGGCTAGGCTAGGCTATAATTTCCTAAATAATTAGTATGGTAACTGTCGTCCTACAGCCTACTATCATCCCTAGAAGGCACCGGGGAAAAATAAAAATTGACAATATTGGGTCGGAAGTTAAATATTTTCTCTGCTATGTGAGAAGTAGTAAGAATACGCTGTAGTTTAAGATTGGAAGGAAAATGCTATAACGAACATGAAATTGCAATTAACGTTGTAAAAAAAATAGACACCAAAGAATCGTATCAATCTGAAATCGACGATAATGGTGCAGACAAAAATGATTCATTTGAATAAGAATTAATTCAAAATAAGTAACTTGCTAGATCTTCATTTATTGACTTACTATTTGTATATTGATTTATCGATTGTTAGCATTAGTAAAACACAATAAATGGAAACTAATTATGATACATACGTAATAAACAATAAGTATACTAAGTATTGTTTTTTTCGTAATAACTAAAAAAATGGTTATGTTAAGTGGAGAATATAGCTACTATTGGAGTAGGGCTGTTTTCGTTAGTGGTATTCTGGTGGTTTTAGATGTTGAATCTGTTGGAGAGTTAATTAACTGGTGGTAGCACTGCAAAATTGGGGGTTTTACCATTATTTTTCCTAGAGAAATATTTGTTAGTTGTTTTCTCTGACAAAAATTAGTCATTTAGCATCTCTATACAAATAAGAATTTATCCTATTCTATTTAAAGAATTATTAAACTTTAATTTTCACTCGGAGTTTTTGTTAAGAAGGTTATATACATCAGTTACAAATTGTCTATCTTTAATATGATGATGTTACCTAGCAACTGTTGTTAATTTGTAGTCAAGAATAAATTTGTCAATAACAGAAACTTGCTTTCCATATTATATTTTATTTTATTATATTAAAGTGGTAGCAGAGCGTAAACAATGGAGCAAGCATTAAATGCGAGTAAGATTCAAATTGGGAAACTAGATTCCAATAATTATAAAACATGGAGATTCAAAATTCTAATCGTGCTAAAGGCAATACCAGGAGGCATGTTCATCCTCGAAGGGAAGAAGGTAAGACCATCCTTGGTGCTTTCGGCTACTGGCGATGCAAAGGCTAGTTATGAAAAAGACCTCCAAAGTTTTGAAAATTTGAATAGCGCAATTTTAATTCTGTTGACAACAAACATGTCAGATGATATTTTACAAAAGTTTTTGCGATTTGATTCTGCTAAAGATATGTGGGATGAGCTAGAGCGCACCTATGGAGGTACGTGTGTAGACAAGACATACAACTTATGCCTGAAATTCTTCAGTTACAAAAAGGACCCAGAACATGACATAATTACACATGTGTCAATTTTAAAGAATATTTGGAGCGAGCTATGTACGGAATTGCAGAGTGAAACAAAATTACCTGAAATTCTTTTAATATGCAAGATACTAGATACATTACCTCCAGAATATCTTGGTTTTAAGTCCAGTTGGCTGTTGATTTCAAAAATGGAAAGATCAGTTGAAAATCTGACAAGTCAATTGTGTGCACAAGAGAGAGTCCTGCGTCAAGACACAAATGTCACAGAGGAGACTAGTGCAGAAGCTTTGTATACAAAAACAAATAAGGGTAAGAAAAAGAAGAATTTTAACGAGCCTAAATGCAATTATTGCAAGGAAAAGGGACATAGAGTTAGAAATTGTAAGCGGTGGATCCAAGTTGGAAGGCCGCCCAAGGAAACCAAGACCGCAAACACGAACCTGACTGTTATGACAATAGATTCGGCTGATTTTGGAGAAAGGAAAGATTTAGAGAATTGGTTCATTGATAATGGGGCTACCAATCATGTTACCAATCGAAATGATCTCTTTCAGACCTTCAAATATTTCAAGAGCCGTCATACAGTGACTGGCGCGAATGGCCAATATATTGAAGCCCTAGGCATCGGAAATATTCTTGCAGAGGCTGATGTAAACGGAAATGCAATACCGATACTACTGAAGAATGTCTGGTACGTACCCAGCATTAGCAGGAATTTATTTTCAGTACTTGCAACCCACGACATATCTGACAACAGTGTTTTTGAATCTACCACACTAAAATGCACACTAAAGATTGATGGACAGGTAAAGCTGATTGGCACCCGCAGCAAGTTTGGAGGACTCTTTAAAATTAATATAAGATGTCTGGAACCAACTGTACGAGTCAATCAGGTGTCCACAAACACAAATTTGTTACAGCTATATCATGAAAGATTTGGACATCAAAATAAAAGCCATGTGAAGAAGGTGATTGAAAATGAGTTTCATATAAAAGTACCAGTAACCAAGGAACTATGTGAAGGTTGCATCTATGGCAAATCCCATAGACTTAAGTTTGGGACCCGAGAGAAAGCAACGAGACCTGGAGAACTTGTATATGCTGATGTTTGTGGACCCTTCCCATATTCTATCACAAAGTTGCGATATTTTGTTCTCTTCAAAGATGATTATACAAGGTACAGATTTGTGTATTTTATGAGGGAAAAAGCTGAAGTACACGCGAAATTGCTACTTATGCTTACTGAAGTAAAAGCATCAGGAGTTGTCATAAAAGAACTTCTTAGCGACAACGGTGGTGAGTTTGTCAACGCGAAGGTACAAGCTACTCTCAAGAAGGAAGGTATTGTGCAAAGATTGACAATGCCCTATACGCCACAACAAAATCCAACAGAGCGAGACAACAGGACCGTTGTGGAAATGGCGCGGAGTCTAATGTACGCACATGCAAAAATTCCTCCTGCACTTTGGGCTGAAATGATATCTGCTGCGGTGTACATCTTAAACAGAACAGGCCCAACCTCTGTGGATGGAAAATCACCGTATGAGTTATGGCACCAGAAGAAACCCAGACTGAGTCATTTAAGAATAATAGGATCCATTTGTTATCCACATGTTCCCAAGCAAAGACGAAAGAAGTTAGACAAGAAGGCACAAAAAGGAATATTAATTGGATATGACTCTGACAATGGCTACCGTATTTGGGACAGCAACTCTTTCAAACTGATTCGTTCCAGAGATGTCACTTTTAATGAGAATCCTTTATTGGGTCACTTTGAAGAGATTGACGAGCCTGTTGCCAATCAGAACAAAACTGCTGATAAAAATTCCAACACCCTGTTTGACTTCGTCATTCCTCGTCAGCATGAATGTTACACGCCGGCCGACACGAGCAACATCCAGCAGACATTGACAAGTCATGATGAAAGTATCGCATCGTCTTCTCAGCAAGATGAACATGCTGCTGAATCATCATGTGCAGAGATTGAAACTGCGAGTGAAGATGACGTGCCAGAGGCTGAAACATTTTTAGAGGCGGAGGAATCCTTTCACGAGCCTATACCCGAAGAAGAGGTTAGCGATGTAATCGAGACAGATCGTCAAGTCAACGATATAAATGAATCGGGGCCAGACCGTAGAGACGATTCGTCTTTATCTGCATCTGAGATCGAGGCTGAAGGCAGGATGACGCTACGAGACCGATCAAATCTCAGGCCACCGGCTAGATACAAAGACTTCATTTGCAACATTTGTATGAATGGCAATTCGATAAGCGATGAAAATCGAAAAGAGCCAAGTACATTTCAAGAAGTGATGGCATCTAAAGATTTTGATGAATGGAAAAAAGCAATGGATAATGAAATTAATTCTCTAAAAGAAAATGAAACTTGGGAAATGGTAGATTTACCCAAGGGCAGAAAAGCGATCTCAAGCAAGTGGATTTTTAAGATCAAGACGAATCCTGACGGATCGATTGATAAATACAAAGCCAGACTTGTAATAAGAGGTTTTTCACAGAAGAAGGGTTTAGATTATTATGAAACCTTTAGTCCTGTTGCAAAGACAAGTACCATAAGAGCATTACTCAGTATAGCTGCTCAAGAAAATCTCTCTCTATGTCAGTTCGACGTTTCAACTGCCTTTCTATATGGCAAATTGAAAGAGGATATTTATATGAAGCCTCCAGAAGGATATTCAAACAATGATGGTAAAGTTTGCAAACTTAAACGAAGTCTCTATGGACTTAAACAAGCACCGAGGTGCTGGAACTCTACTATTACTGAGCACATCCTCAAAGTTGGCTTCATACAGAGTGAGGGTGACCCCTGCTTGTTTAAAAGAGAGGGAAAGAACAAGTTATTAATAGCTTTATATGTTGATGACGGATTGATAGCGTCAGCAAGTTCAAAAGAAACTGAAAAGTTTTTGGACGAAATGCGTCAACGCTTCAAAATCACAACGAAATGCGGTTCCTATTTTCTTGGAATTGAAATAGAACGTAAAGTTGATGGGTCAATCAAAATTGATCAAAAGAGCTATGCAAAGAAGCTACTGCAAAGATTTGGCATGCAGAATTGCAAAGCTGCAGTAACCCCAATTGTTAAAGATAACGTGCTAGCTTCGAAAGACAATACGGATATCCATGACTTTCCATATCGACAGGTTGTTGGAGCATTATCCTATTTGATGGTTGGCACTAGACCTGACATTGCTTTTGCAGTTGGAATAGTGTCACGGAAGCTAGATAATCCAACATCAGAAGATGTAGCGAGAGTTAAGCGAATTCTACGCTATGTTAAAGGCACCCTAGAGTATGGTATAACATACAAATCTTCCACTGTAGAACGAGGCTTAAGATGCTACAGTGATTCTGATCATGGTGGTGATGAGACGACTGGACGCTCCACCAGCGGCATGATTTGCCTCAACGCCAATGGTGCAATAGCATGGCAGAGTAAACGTCAGACTACTGTCGCAATATCTTCTACAGAAGCTGAAATAATTGCAGCAAGTGAGGCCGCCAGAGAAGTTATATGGCTTAAACGGATCATGAACTTCATGCAGAGTAATACTCAGAAGGAGATTACACCACTCTTTATAGATAATGAATCCGCTATAAGATTAGCTTATGATCCACCTTACGAAGCACACCAGCGAACAAAGCATATAAGGCTTAAACATTTTTTCGTAAGGCAGTGTGTCCTAGAAAAGGATATAAAAGTTGAGAAGGTTGATACCAAGAATCAACTGGCAGACTTCTTGACAAAGCCATTATTTAAGCCTAGGCTTCTAGAACTATGTAAGCTAGCTGGAGCCTCCACTTAACCAACAGTTGCTTGAAGAGGAGATGGAATGTTAAGAAGGTTATATACATCAGTTACAAATTGTCTATCTTTAATATGATGATGTTACCTAGCAACTGTTGTTAATTTGTAGTCAAGAATAAATTTGTCAATAACAGAAACTTGCTTTCCATATTATATTTTATTTTATTATATTAAAGGTTTTGGGGTGCCGGGGGAAACAAGGAGTTGTCAAAACAAGGTGCTGTCAACCTATGACAGCAGCTTGTTTTGACAATTTCGCCAACAGAACAGAACCGAAAACAGGACCTGAGCAAAGTTCAAACAAAGTTTTATAAGAATCAAATTTATAAACATGTCTCTATCGCTGTATTGTGATCTTATGTCCCAGCCTTCTAGAGCTCTTTACATATTATTGAAAAGCATAAAGTGTAATTTTGAACCTAAATTTGTACATTTGAGAAAAGGTAGGTTTTGTCCGTTTGAGGCTATTTTTTTATCTTCTTGTTTTAAAATTACTACGGAAGGAGCTGTTAGGGTCTTAAGTAGTAATTTACGTAGTTTTGTTAATCGCTTATTTTGGCTGTAAATTTACGACTATATAACAATATTAAAACGATACGACCTTCAAGAAAACCGACCGTTTGTGACTCCTGAGCTGCAGACGTTCATCGGCAGCGATGGTCACTTTCTATCAGGTGACCCGTCTGCTCGTCTGCCCCCTCTAACATAAAAAAAACTTCAACACGTTCTCTATCCAATAGTAATTATAGTATTCATTGACTAATTTATGTTTAAGAGAATCAAAAATATACTTTTTTGCTAATTGGCTACTGAATAGTTACTTTAAGGAGTTTTAAAAATTCTTGTAACCTTGAATTAATAATATTTTTCAGCGGAGCATTATTCTGAAGAATTTAGTGCAATAAATAGATTTCAAAAGGTTCCTGTGATCGATCATAACGGATTTATTTTAACTGAAAGGTACAGTAAGACATACTTAGGTGGTATTTTAAAAGCTGACATTGTTTTCTCTTTTGAAATGATATTTGTGATGTTAAAAATTTCACCTCGGAAAAGAAAAATCATGTATCTAATAGCACTATTTCTTTGCCTGCATGAACCTCTACCTCCTAAAGGTTTGTGGGTGATGCAACTGTATTTGTAGTTTTCTTAAATATTAAGCTTATATCAAAACATTTTCTTTTAACAAATGATATAAGTAGTGAGGCTAGCTGTAAAACTTTAAAAAAATTAAATATTTTAGTGTGGCAATATTAAAATATCTATCTAGAGAGAATATAATACCAGAATCATTGTATCCAAAAGAGTCTAAGCTGCAGGCACGAGTTGAAGAATTTCTGGAGTGGCAACATGCAGGAATCAGATTACATTGTGCTATGTATTTCAGGGTTAAGGTAAATTTGTGCATTTATTTCTGTTTTCGATGTATTTTAATTTATTTACCAGTATCATCACAAATTATATTAATAGTTGTTCAAGCAAATAAATGCTGTTAAAAATGAATGAAAGAGACAAATATTATGATTTATCATTGAAGTCAAAATCAATTTGTACATAAAGAAACGTTATTCTGTTTAATAGCCTTAATATTTTGAAGTAACAAGTATTCTGGTCTTAATACACTGTGCGTTTCGATTGCTCCGCCACATTATCGAAACTGAAAAAAACTTCGCGAAAAATTGTCAAAATCGAAGGGAACAAACCAAAAATTTGTCAAAGTAACAATAAAAAAGTTATAAGGGTTTCAAGGTGGCAGCGCTAACGATACGTTGTGGATTGTGCGGCCAGAGATCTTAGCTACTACTAAAGTTAGGGATCTAATTATTTTTGTCAATTTCTGTTTCGATAATGTGTAATGTGGCAGAGTAATCGAAACGCACACTAATTAATTTTTTTTTTGTTTGTAATACCAACAGCACAAATAACGCAAGGTAAAACATTACAGTATAGTAGGTAACAACGAAGCTATTTACAGGTATTCGCAAATAGATTCCAAGTGTGAAACAACAGTACAACAAATAACTTAGCAACAACAACTTAGAAAAAAGAAAAACTTAGACTAAGAAAATGTCACGCTCCTAACATTGGGCTTAAAAAAATTTTGATGCATGTATTTTTCGACATGTGAAGGTCTGGATCTGAAGAGCTCAAACTCGCTGCTCAATTCATGCATATCATTTACAGATTTACTGGCTCGAATAATAAAGGATTTTTTGCGGTAGTTGGTATTTGTTCATATAATATATGTATATAGTTCATATATATATTATATATAAACAGAATGCTATTATTCCATGTGACTTTATTTTGAGAGGGGCTTGTGGTTAAGTGGTAACTGAATAGGTTACCACTTAACCACAAGCCCCAAGTTAGCACATTTTAATGTTAAGCAATTCTACTCGGGTCAGTCTATGGATAGGTGACCATTCTTAACACATTAACACCCCTCTGTGCCTTGGAGATCAAGTTAAGCCATCAATACCGGTTGCTATATGAACATATGTGGCAATTGTTACAGGTAGTTTAAACTCTAAAAAGTCCGACATCTGTCTATCCACAGACCTACGATTTTGACTAGTACTTGGTTCGTGGAGATCTGATGAAATTGTAGTTCAGCCGTGTCGCAGTAGACTGGAAGCCGTCACCAACCTAGATTGGGCAAAGGCTCGGAGGATGATGATGATATTATGTTTCAGTACTTGGATCCAATTCTTTTCAACAAGACACTAGAGCCGCGATCTTTAGCTGGCTACGAAAGCCGTATGGAAAACGCGCTAACCGAATTTGACACGAAGTGGCTAGGCCGTGGCACAGACTTTATTGTGGCTGGCGATAAACCCACAGTGGCAGACTTACTAGCAGCCTGCGAGTTAGAACAACCCAGTAAGTAACTTGTTGTTCATAGTTGTTCATAGAATTGGTACCTACATAGTATTTGTTACTAAGAGATTTAAGTATAGAGTAGGTATAGGTAATTTAAGTTTTGAAGAGTGTGACGTGTGCGTTATAAATAGGTATTTTGTTGGTAGATAGTGTTAAGTGACAAACTTATAACGACGAACATATCGCGAACAAACCCTATATTGCATTATTTCTGTAAAACTGTTGGAGAAAATAAAACAGTAGCTACTTTTGATCTCAAAAATCGCGGTGAGTTCAATTATAAAAAAAATGATTATTTATATAAAATTAGTAGTTGAAGTGAACGTAAATAACAAGTTACGACCGTTTTTCATTTGCTCTCCTCGTTCGAAATTGGAATATTAGCAAATAATATTAGCATTAGCAATTAACATGCTAAGATATAAGAATTCGCAATAAATTAAATCTAATTAGCATTAATGCCCATTACTAATATAATAAGTATAGGACGAAACTGAAGTTATAGGTTGGTGAAAAGCTGAAGACATTTTTTGTATAGATGCTATTTAATATAGCTGTATATTACACACTGATATATGAAAAAGCACTATGGAACGAAGGCTGGGTAATAATTTATATATATACTAGCCTAATCATCAAGCACCTCCCTCCCTCATCTCTTTTAATAACAAATATCATATTACAGGAATGGCTGGTTACGACCCGGCCAAATTCAAGAACATATCTGTTTGGTGGAGCAAGGTACGGGACCACTTCAATCCCTACTATGATGAAGGACACGTTATAATCAATAAAGTAATAAAAAAACAATCTAAAGTAGTCTCTAAAGTCTAGTTCGTAAGAATGTACACTAATGTTTTTCGTTCATATGTTTATATAGTTAATCGTTTTAATATATAGATTACAATATAAATATACCAATTAATATAAAAAAAAAACGCATTTGCGTTAAAAGGTAACGGTTAGAATTACAGCTACGGACGCAACATTTGAACAACTTAAATAGAAGTACTGTTTTTACTCGTTCCACTATAAAAATTTAATCAATATTAGGTATTGGAACTTATAGTAGCCACAGTAGTAGCCATAGACAGTACAAATGACAAACAAAACAAATATTTTGACACTAGGATGCTGTATGCTGTGCAGTTGCGTTACTATTGTACTATTATAGTTTTGTATGTGGAATAAGCTTTTATTACGTGGGCCTAACATTATAATAATATAATATTACTAGCAGACCCGCCAAAGGATGTTTTGGAAATTCATATTCATAAAAATCGGTCCAGCCGTTTCGAAGGAGTTTGGTAACAAAACCCGGGACACGATAATTTTATATATTAAACAGTATCATAATGCTAAAATGTAGATATTTGATACGCCTCTGCCAACCCCTCCTCGGGTATAGGCGCGAGCGTAAGTATATGTAAGTAAAGTTGGTTATTATTATAATTTTAATGCTGTTTTTGAAGATTTCAATATACTTTTAAACTTTTTCATATTTTTTTAAGTGTTATGGATTTACTATTTTAATATTTTGTATTTATCGCACGTTAGTAGCAGAAGTTATGAATATTATGGTGCTATGGTGCAATAAACTTTTTTTAAATTAAGCATGCTGTTGTTTTAATCGGAAGTTTAGAATCTAACATGAAGGTAGAAAATTATAAAGTTTTACAAAACTAAAATACCAAAGTGAGTTCGTTTGTTTACTTGTTTATTACACTTTTATGTCGTAAAGACTCAGTAATATTTTACATACACATTTTCAAGGCTTCATCGTGACACCATAGATTATAAGTGGTCGCGCATAGTACGATCTTTTTTATGTAATAGGGAGCACACGGGACGGTTCACCTGATTGTAAATGACTACCATGTCCATGGGGGACATTGGCATCTAAAACTCCATAGATGCAAGTGCATTAAAAACCCTTTGCATGCTCCTGAAACCCTTATAATAGATAGACTATGATACGATCAGCGTTTATAATGAACTGATGATGATGAATGATGGTAAACAGCAGTAGTGGCATAGCGTTCCCTTCTTTTTCAACATTGGCAATAGTGATGCGCAAAATGTATCACTGAGCTAAAAAGATAGATACATATCATTTCGCTCTAAAGATATATATCACTCATCTAGCTCACTAGCTCAGTGATCCAATTCAATTGATTGGTTTCTCAATTGATTCATTTCTTCGTCTAGATCGTTTAGCTCAGTATGTATATATCACTTAAAACCTCTCTCGCTCAAACAAACCTTTCTTTATTCTCATATTAATCTAAATTTAGTTCTTGGCACTTCATTTTGAACCTATTTTTTTAAATACATTTTTTATTCTTTTTTTTTTAAGATTACCCTTATTATATATACCCTTTTATATTATAATAAAAAATAACAAATATGCATAATATTTTTATTGTACTTTTATTATGTTCTATATTAGAAATTATACATACGAGTATTAAATTGATTATCCTTCATACTTGGCAGGCTTAATTTTCATATATATATATAATTAGATTTTGTTTACGTGTGTCGAGTAGCATGGAGAATAGAGTATCTGCAAAAGCGACACCAACGGGGCACTTAGTATTAACTTGTTGTGATGAGGTCTTATAGAGGCATGTAAGGTTAGCTTTCGTTTGAATTACAAAATATTTATGTCGAGTACATTCAACTAGGTGTGAATAATATTTTGGCTTTTAGCAAAAGACATTTCAATTAAAACGATCGATTTTTTGGGCCCAAGAAATCGTTTTTTCGATTAATCGGTTTCAGATCGCTATCTCCACCTCAGATACTATAATTCTCACTTTCTCACTCACTGTCATCGCTGCCAATCCAGTGGATTTTCCACTAAAACTGGTGGTTTCGACCCCCCTTTTAGTGGCGAAGTTTTGCTTTTAGTGGATAGTGGACTTTTTTAGTGGTTTATTAGTAATAGTAAAATTGTAGTGGACTTAGGAAATGCTTTTAAAAGATAAACTATGAAAACTACTTGAGTACGCAAACCTCAAGAACATTTGATAGGAAAGGAAGGAAGAGAAGGATTATTAATTTTAGACAAAATTTAGTGCCTATTACAGTAGGGTCGTTTTTCATTAGTGGTTTTAGATGTTGAATCTGGTGGAGAGTTCATTTAACTCTTGGCAGCACTGTTGCATTCGCTGCGCTGTCATGCCGCGACCTTGATGAAATGTCGTTTGGCTTTATTTAATAAAAAAAATGGAATTATATTAAAAGTACATATAGTATAATGTATGTATTAAAGTTTATAGAAGTCTTATCTTTATTTTTACCTATTGGCATTTATTGTGACCGATACAATAGGCACTTATCTACTTAAGTACTCTACGTTCCATCACGTCTCATCTTAACAATTTCATGTTATCATTGCCGCCCGGTGACTTAAAGTAATAAATTGAGTTCTTGTTTTTACAGCCGTCATATACAATGATTATTTTAATAACCTGCAGTACTTCTTATCTCAGTTAGTTAACTAGTGTAACGAACAAATAAAACATACCCAGATCTTCCCAGTAAGGTCATCGGAGATTAGGAAGTGAACGTTTATATATTTGTATAGTAATTTATTATATAAATATTAAAATGGCACGGTCATTAGTAAATGATTTAAGACAAATATTTAAGAGTAGTGTATCTGCAGTGTATCCAGAAAATCTGATTAGTAGATCGGTAAAATACAATCCGGCAAATCAGCAGTTGACTATTGCTGGCGAAAATTTTAATCTACAAAACAAAAATGTCTACATTGTTGGGAGTGGAAAGGCTGTTCAAAATATGGCAAAAGAAATTGAAATTATTTTAAGTTCCAAAATTAAACAGGGTATCATTAGTATTCCTGTTGGCAGTTCCAAGTACAAATCTGAACTTAAAATATCTTATTATGAGGGAGCTAAGAACAACCTTCCAGATGCTAATGCTGAAAATACAGCAAAAGCAATAAGAGATCTTGTTATTGGATTGGGAAGGGATGATTTACTATTAGTGCTATTATCAGGTGGGGGATCCGCACTATTACCTTTGCCTAAGCCACCCATAACATTAGAAGAAAAAACTGCTTTGATAAAAAGTCTAGCAAACTCTGGTGCTGACATTAAGGAACTCAATACTGTCCGAAAACAGCTGTCTGATTTAAAAGGAGGTCAGCTAGCAGTAAAAGCGAAACCTGCACAGGTTATCTCTTTAATACTCTCTGATATTGTTGGAGACCCTTTAGATTTAATAGCAAGTGGTCCTACTACAGAAAATGAAGATGACCCATCTAAAGCTATTACGGTAATAAAAAAATATAAATTATATGATCAACTTCCGAAAACAATTAAAAGTGTATTAAATGAAGTTACTTGTGAGTGCAAATTTCCAAGAGAAAATGTCAAAAACTATATAATAGGATCAAACAGAATTAGTATAGAAGCAGCTTTAGCAGAAGCAAGGAACCTAGATTACTGGGCATTAGGTCTTTCTAACATGGTCACTGGTAATGTCAAGGATGTAGCAATTGAATATGTTAAACTTACTAAACTGTTTTGTTTACTTCTAGAAGAAAAGTCAAGTATTAAAGACTTGACACAAAACTTAGAAACTATCTGTATACCAGGGATTGACGTTAGTGTACTAAAAAATATTAAGTCTATTGAAAAAAAGGATTTATGCTTGATCCTTGGAGGTGAAATCACAGTTGAAGTAAAGGGTGCAGGGAAAGGTGGCAGAAATCAACAGCTAGCTTTAGAATTTTCAAACTTTGTTGGCCAAGCAAACAATGATTTTGCAAAGTTCGACATTCACTTTCTAAGTGCAGGTACTGATGGCATAGATGGGCCAACAGATGCAGCAGGGGCTATAGGATATCAAAATCTTGTGACCGAGGCGAGAAAAGAAAATTTAAATACTGAAAAGTATTTAAATGAAAATGATTCTTACAACTTTTACAAGAAATTTAAAAATGGAAGTTTTCATGTTATTACTGGTCACACAAATACTAATGTTATAGATATTCATATAATCATTATAAAGAAAAAAGAAAAATAAAAGACATGATTATGTAATTTTGTAATCTTTATTTTACCTAGGTTGTTAATCTTTATTTGATGGTTTTAAAAATAAACTTAATTTATTTTGTTGACTTTTCTTTTCTTTAAGTTTAGCTGAAGCTAGCACAGCTTTTTGGCACAATCCTGCAAACTTATCTTTTTTCTTTTTGTTGTTCTGTATCACTTTTGGTTTTTCTGTTATAGTACTGGATAGTGTATTGCTTTTATTCTTTAGTGAAAATACATCTAACGCACTGGCATAAACATTGACTGCTTTCTTTGCTTTAGACTTGTCTTTTTTATTATTAATTTTATGTTTATTAGTAGTGTTTGTAGTTTCCACTGGAACTATTTTTTTCTCTTCTATGGATAGGTTTGGCTTTTGCTTAAGTGGTTTTAGAATTGGTGTGATAGTGCTTTTTTTACAAAATGAGCAGATTTGTTCCTGTAAAAAAAAATAGATTCAAAATTTGTGGTCAAATGTAAGCAGTTAATATCATCTAGCCTATGGACTAGTGACTGTTGGCAATTGAAGTGATAGATAGTAGTAAGAAAGACTGTTCACAATATAAAGATTATCTTTTTATAAACTTACTAATTCATTACTGTTCAATAAATCCTTTCTACGTCTGATACATTCTTTTTTGTTGTGAGTAACTTTACGAGATTTCAATCTTTGTTTTTGTCTTCTACTGAGTTTAATTGACCTCACCTGCAAAATTATAAACACTTTGTTAGTAAAATAACATAATATTCAACTTCAACTTTTTCACAAACAGTGGCATCAATAGTGAAAAGTGAAATATAAATGTATCTGACAAGGTATAGAGGGAGAGAAAATATTTTTATAACGAGAATGTTTCTTGAAGCCATAGTGTCACATGGTCCAGAAACAGACTTCACCATTGAAGAATAAAACACAACAGAATTTTCATAGTTTAAAGTAGTAAAAATTAACTCTCTCTAAACCTAGACACAGACTCATTTGTATAAGACAATAGCAGTAGTCACTTACAATCAGGTGACCGCTTGTTGTTCTCTATGCAATGAAAAAACCAAGCTACTGGTGGTTAGGGTTCCAGGGACAGAGCCTACCACCTTACAATACCTGTCATATTAAGAAGTATTGCCTCATTAGATTTCTGCATCATATTTTTAGGCCCAGGCTGCCTAACGTGAGCCTCTGAGGTCAAGACTCTTAACAATCAATCAATCCATGGGCTGATATGATTATTGACACAATGATTGCCCAATGCACATGATACACATTGACCATCAAATCAAATCCAAACACTTATTTTTTTATCTTTTTCAGCCTTTGAGAGAATGTCGTCATAGAAAATAGTAATGTCAACAATCATTACTTGGCACTCTAATCTGTCTATCACCACTATGTCAGGTTTGTTGGCAACAATAGTCCTGTTAGTGTAATAGTGTTCTCAGTATAATATGGCATGATATGATGATATGCATAATATGAAGAGATTGCTCCTAGCAATAAGGCCCCACCTTTTGTACATTATATGTCTAACACTTTTATTTAACATACTTTTTGAAGAATTCTATCTATCTATCGCATGACTATTTCCAAGAACTGGGTCAAGCATTTATCAAATAGTATATTAACTTCAGTCACATGGTTATTTGTTTATGAGCAAGTTGCTGATGTATTATCCTGCCCACCTTGATTACATGTATATGCAAGTATTCACCAAGTATTTTTTTTTATTAAAACAAACATCTAAAGTTATAATCAAAAGTAATAAAGGTAAAAAATCTCTTACTTTAATTTCAGTACGATTAGTCCATTCAATACAACAGTTTGGGCATCTTTTTTTGGAAGAAAAATGTTTGTCTGGTAATCCATAGCCTCGAGTGATGTCCTTGCATCGCATTCTGAAAAACAAAATGTGATTTCTAACTGAATTTTGTACATCAGAACATTGTTTACAACAATGTTTATGCACTTACAGATAATAACTTTTAAGTTTTTCGTTATTTTGTGATTTGGATATAATGGCTGCAAGGTTATAAAGCAATCCAACCTGTGCTTCAGTCATTTTGGATATTTTTACACTATATTAAATGGTATTTACACCTTAAGTGTTATAATAAAGGTTATGTTATGTTTATTAACTTCAACTTTTGGTAATTTTTTTTTTTTTAATTTAATGACCTGGTAACTAAGACCTTTAAGTCAAGTCTTATTTTATTACTTTTGGTTAATGGCTTTGTAGTAGTGTAACCACAATTTCGTCAATGTCATGTAATTGAAAGACAAACTGTCAAAGGATTTTATGTAGAGCTGTGGTGTTATGTTTATCAATTCGGTTGATATGTGAATGTGATATTTACATATTCTACTATACCTACTCTGACCATAGAGTAGAACTTGACGGTCAAAATGTCGTCGAAATGAATAGATGCCATACTTTACTTTTCAATTATTTCAATAAATGTCTTCGCAAATTAATTATTATTATTATTTCAATAAATGTCTTCGCAACAGAAATAATAAACAAACACCTACTACACACTACTTAATCTTTCACATTTTTGTCTGATGATGTATATATCGTCTTTGGGGCAACTTTTAATATGGCTGTGCGTGTACATAGCCCGATAAAGGTAAAAGGCTTAGACAAATAACGCATAGAAAGATAGCTTCATATCAAAAAACCGTCGAGTTCGAGGCAAACAAATGCACAACTGATGTAGGATTTTTTTTTGTGTAATGCATGGTTGTTGGCCTCGGATGGCCTCGACAACCTTGCCCGGGCTTTTCGGCGAGCGCAGAGGGCTCTCAACTGATGTAGGCGTAAGTCACGCGTATTTAAGCTGTGCGACACGCACACTAGCGTACTGTTACTGTTGCTATCGAAATCAGACTTTCCCCAAAAGTAGGGAAAATGGAACTGCTACTTCTACTTACTAATTTTATGGATGAAATTCTGAAATAAGTAATTTATATACTTACACAATGAAACATTAAAAAAGTCAATGCAGTGGTAGTATAGGCGACTGTTATGAAGAGATCTCAGGTTCGATACCAGACCAAATATTTGTACGATTTATAAATATTTCAAAGTTTGGGTGTTTTCTATGTATAATCCGATTTTAGATAAATTTTGCGATTTAAGGGGTACATGATATTATTACAATTTGTAACATGTTAATTTGGTTAATACACTTCAAGACATTTTACAAACACCATCTTAGTCTCCTCGAGATCATAGCAGCACAAAAAGATTCAGACATCACGCCCTCTTTAAAATTACTATGACACATCACTAAAATAAGTTTCCTGAAATGGCTACTAGAGGACTTCCTAAAGTCAGAAACATGCTTATTTTTAATACTAGATGGCACTGGACCTCAGTAAAGGTGTGAGGAGTCGAATCAAGTTCCATTATTTTTATGACTAAAATCATATTATGATCATCATGTGTCGGTGCGCATCGTTCCCACTCTTTAAAAAAGTGAAAAGAAAGAAAGTTTTTGGTATAAAGAAGGATTCTACCCAGGAGGTCTAGTGCAAGTTTACACACACAATTTAAATAATGAGCTTTTTAAGCATTCTAACGATGTAGGTGTAGTTCTTCAAGATGGAGAAAGCAAAGATATATAACCTTATCACAAAGACGTATCTGACGTTTTTTTTTTTTTATTTATTGTTTACAAAGAGAAAAAAAATACAGTGACTTATACAATAATAGCAACTAAAAACCAACAAGGTTTATACCTGTGCTATCTCGAGTCTGTATATGTTATTTATATATAAATCAAAGCTATAAGAATAACAAATAGAAAAGGATTACAATCTACCAGCAACACAAAAGAAAAAATAATCTTACACTTACTAATTTCACTTAACATAAATACAACAGCAATTTTTGTGACTTCGTTGAGGTATTTCCTAATATTGCATCATTTTTAAACAAAACTCGAAAAATATTGCTTTAATTTAGATTTTATATTTTTGTTTGATATGCTATTACATAAATCTGGGGGTACCTAAGTCATTAATAAGTCAAGGGATAATAGAGGCGGTAGGCCGCTCGCCGTACGTATTGTAACAAGTATTTCTTAGTTAAAAATGGTTACAAACTACTAAAGAAACAGTATCAAGCAGGCCCGACTACCAGCTTTGGCAATACTTTCAACTTTACTACAATTAAATAAAACCATTGTTTACATTTAGGTATAAGTTTCAAAGCATCTTTGGTAAAAAGGATGTATCTGGCACCTATGTCTTGACAATGAAAGAAAAGGGGCCTCGCTGATGCTACTTCGCCAACGACTGAGTTAGTTTAGAATTGAGAATATATAAAATCTCACTTTGAAATTCAGAAGCTACGAAATTAATTAATTTTTCAGCATACAGGAAAATGGAAGGTTTAAGAAGTAAGCGCTAACGGATGTACTAAGATAACGTTCAGTTATTATTGACATTATACATTACAGAACCTATCAAAGAGGTCTTAACTACGCAAAGTTGTTTTAAACAATTAAGTTATGTTTAGACAAGTGCCGAAAGAAAAACCAAAAAAAAAGTGGGTCGTAGGAATACTGGTGAAGATTTAATTCTGAAATGTTCATTTTTTCACAGATTACTGTCGCAGTCTCTATGATTCGTGGGCCACTAGCAAACTATGTTCCTGAGGTCAATGAGCAAAAATATTTTTTACGGATAACCACTAACTACCAAAGTAACATTGTCAGGGCTAATCATTAGCCATACCTAAGTATATCGAAATTATTATTACCTATAAACTCATTAAAGTAGTTTCAGGTGTTTATCTTAATTTGACCCTAGTAGTTATGTGAGGTAGGTCCTATTTACCACTGGTATGTTAAAAGGTACATCATATTTACCCTGGACCATTTCCCCTTTTTTGTGGCAGCTTTTGTCACCAGCTGTATATAATATTCATAGATTTTTTAATATTTACATCATGCAATAAATAATCTATGGTTAGTGTAAAAATCTGGCAACAAAATCTGCAAAAAAAGGGTTAAGATTAACGGAATAACTGACCTGGACATTTATCCTTTTATAACAGAACTTAATCTTACAATTTTGTTTAATTACTTATTGTAACTGTTAAAGATGTCCCCCTACCTGGATTTCCGGTGGGGTGATTATGTTGGACTAAGAGGTACTTATAAAAGTACTTATGTTCTAAATTACATGAAAGTATTATGTAGATTGTAGCGTATATGTAGCGAGTAGCGTACAACAAGATACATTCATTGTTCCAAAACCAATGATTTATTCATTATCTAAAGCTTAAAAATCTTAACTAAATTAAATAGTTTATTTAAAGTAGAAAACTATGCATAGATTTTGTCCTTATTGAAACTATACTGAAACAAGCCATAATAGCATTATCAACTTGTTGTAAATATAAAATATTAAAACTTTGTTGACCAACTATACTTCTAAAAATATTAACCTACTAGATACTACTAAAACTGTCAAGTTTCATGAAAAACGCTTATATCTTTCGAATAAAATAATATCCATATTTACCCAAACTAGGTAGTCAACCTTAAGTCTAATACGACACGGCTGAACTTTCATTTTTAACGTGGAGCGACTGTCTTCAGATCCCACAACCCTAGTAGGTACTAGGTGATATCGAAGTTCTGTAGATAGACTATTGTTTTTTAAGGGCTCCAACTATCTGTAACGATTTCCACAGGATGTTCGTAAGCAACCGGGACCGACGGCTTTACGTCTCATGGGCACGAATAGCCCTCTCTCTCTTATTGTGTTAAGAATGATCATCCATCCATAGATTGGCTAGGATTGCTTAACTTTACAATGTAACTTACTTAGTTACCTACCACTTAGCTACGAACCCTTTAAAGCTGAGAAGATTCTTAATTTAACTGTTTAGTTGTTGCTTCTTTGTGGGTATATTTTAAATAATAATAACTTTACACTTAGAGAAAGAGAAATAAGAAACTTAATTAAAGAGATGAAAAATACAAATTATTACAATTTAAAATTAAGTTAGCAATAATTTCCATGTCTATTGGCAATGCACTTGTGAGTCTTGAGTTGCAGGTGGTGTGTGTTGCGGCGGTAGTCACTTACCATCAGGTGACCCGTCTACTCGTTCAAAATGATACTTTTACAAGTCGACAGTTTGCCATCTTATGCCTTTAAAAAAGGTAAGGTATACTCGTACTTAATAGGCCTCTGAAGTTAGGGTCGTTGGTTATCCACGATAATTTAGAAGCTGTAGAACGTATTGTGTATACCTAGTAGGCCGAAATCTCCTTTCTAAGGAGAGGCATATGTCCATCAGTGGACTATAAAGACTGTTGATGTGAAGGTATTGTAACGTATTTCAGTTAGATTTCAGTAGAGTTAGTGTTAGAAGATGTCAGGATGAGTAATTCGACTATAAGTACATCATACATAGTGGTATATATATATAAAGAGCTAATAAAGAGCTTTGTTCTAAACTTTATTAGTTGAGCTCTTAGCTAAATCATCATCAACAGCCTTTAACAGTCTACTGCTGGACATAGGCCTCTCCCTACAAAGGCCTACACTTAATGAATCTCGGAAATCAGTTTAAAACTTACAAGTACTTCAAACCTGTAGGCGTTGGCCCCTTTCATCCTCTTTAATTATTAAATATATACAATGAGCAATGTTTCTCGTTGTATAACGTCACAGAGAGATGTATGTTGATTAAATAGGTATAAAAACTTCGTTTTTCGTTTTCAGAATTATACCGCTTTATTATTACGAACACAACAAATAAGGACCTACCTACCTATATGCAATGTATTGCATGAAATTAAATACCTGGAACTGGAATAAAACAGGCAAAACAAGAGATAAAAGGGGCTGGTTTTTCGAACGTACCGCCCTCTTATTAAGAGGGAGGAGTTAAGGGTTGGTTCATGTCTCCGTGTACCCCGCACGCCTCTGCATGACGTTAGTCCTTTGGGGCTTGCAGCTCGGCAGTGTACGTTAAACGCCAGCGTCGACAGGACGTGACTGTATCTTTACACAATAAAACGCGACCACTGAAGTCCA